AGGTATGCTGTGTTCAAGGAGCTGTGCAGGGACCAGGTGTTGCACATCCTTGCCTCAGGAGCGTTCCAGCTTTTGTCAAAGCATAAATATCTTCCCTATCTCAAGAGAAAGTTCTTTTTCCCTAGCAGAAAGTCCCTGTGGGGCGATGTGAGGAGAAGTGGCCACTGGCAACATTCCCAACCTTTGGGAAGGAGCGATGAAAAGCATGAAGTGGGCAGAAGGGAGCAGGGGACCAGCACATTTAGGGCTGCTTTTTTTGTCAAGCAGTGTTTCCATTTCATATGGAGAAAAGCATTTCCTGCAAGAGGAAGCACAGCAAAATTATCACCTCCTAGGCTACCTGGACACTCAATGTGAAAATAAAGCAGGGGGCAGGAATTCTACATCATGCATAAGAAAAGGGATGGGGGCAGAACAGGAGTTACCTGTTGTGCTAATCATGAGCTGTAAGGAGGCAGCACTGTGCAAAATACCTTCCTATGCGCTCTGACAGGTGCTCCAGATCTGACTTCCCCCAAGGAGTTCAAACATCTTCATGTTAATTGCACATTTTAATCAGTATCAAGGCCACACAGGAACCACAGTATTGCTGGGCTCTAGTTCGCTACAGTCAACTAATGGGGGAAAAGAAGACGGATGGGAAAAGCTTCCCCAGTTGTGATTATCTGAAAAGAGAAGCATGGTGCTTTTTTGGTTTCTGCTCAATACCACCTCAGTAATGTTTTCATTCAATAAATAGGTACTGGTGCTTTTGGAAAGAATGAAAGTATTAAAAAGTGTTTAAGCTTCTTCTAGGAAAATGCTGCCCAAGCCTTTGTGAGCAACAATCACTAGCAGAGTTTGTATTTGCTCCCAGTAGCAGGTACAATGAGGTATTAGTTGCTGCAGATGAATTGTGAATCATGGACTGCTTGCTTACTGGTTCAGTTGTGATTGATTGTTTCTGCTTTATTTCCTTACTGGATGGAAGAAAAACTATTTTTTCTCTATGACTTTTTTGTTGTTTTTTTTTTTTTTTTGGTAACAAAATACCCCAAACCAACAAAATAAGGAGCAAGAAGAGGCAAAGGATCCAGTTCCACTTCCCAAAAATACACCTGAGGTCACACACCACTGCCAGCAGCTTCTCCATGAATTCAAGCGATCAGGGATGACTTGCGCCCGGTGTCCTCCCTGCCACACTCATCTGTCTGTTTCAGCAGCCTTCTCACCAGCTTCTCCAAGTCCTTCCGGGATTTAAGCTCTTCCTCCAAACACTGTTTCATCCTTTTGTTTTCCTACAAGGTGAAAACCAAAGGAATAAAGATGCAGTTATGCCCATGCACTTTATGCAATGAGGTACTTCCATGCATCTGAGGCCTCAGAGGTGATGAAAAAACAGAGACATTTGATAGGAGTTTGTGAGGATGAAGAACATAAGTGGATCAGACCATGAGTAACCCAGTCTTACTACCTCACAGACCTGCACAGAAGTTCCCTGACTTTGGGCAGACAGAAACATCCGCCCCGAAGCCTAATTTTATCTTGGGTTGAAGAACCCTTTTCCCCTCTGATGGTTTCTCCCACCTCCAGACTTGGGACTGGAGGGAAGAAGACATATTTCCTTTGAGTCTATAAGAACTAGTGTCCACCAGACCCCTATAAAATGAATGGTCAAGGTGAAAGAGCTTTTGGAATAGGGGGAAAGTTTTTCATGTTACCACAAAGACCAGCTCCTCCTTCCCTCTTGCTTTCTCTAGCACTCAAGCATGGAGGATGAGAGGAAGTGGTCTCCAGCTGCAGCAGGGAAGGTTTATGTTGGATATTAGGAAAAGTTTCTTCATGGAAGGGGTTGACAAACACTGGAACAGTCTGCCCAGGGAAGCAGTAGAGTCACCATTCCTGAGAGTGTTCACAGAATGTGTAGGTATGGCACTTCAGGACATGCTTTAGTGGTGAACATTGTGGTGGTGCTGGGTTGATGGTTGGACTCCATGATCCCAGAGGTAGTTCCCAACCTTAAAGATTCTATGATTCTGTGATTCAGGAAGGTAAACCAGAAAAACACTAATGCTCCTTTAGGAATTTGCAGGATTGGACCAGCATCAGCAAGACTTTTCCTGGCACTGATCAGCTGAAAATGATCCAGCACAGATTGGTTGGCTGTCATTCAACTCCCAGCACAAACAATCCCACCCAAATTACCTGCTTCAGCTCTTTGACTTCATCTTTCAGTGCATAAACTGTATCAACAAGGCTTCTGAAAAAATAAATTAAAGAAAAAAGAAATTAGAGTTGGTGTGCAGGAAAATAGTGATAGCATGGGAGGTGCTGACAGGAAAGTTGCAGCCAGATTCTGCTTCCCAAGCATCAGGCTGCTGCCTGGGAGGGGACTCTGGAAACACAGCCTAGGAGCATTTATATACCACTGGTCCAAAACTCAGGGCTCTCTTCTCAAACCTTGATACCTTGTTCTGCTTTGAGTTATCAGCAAAGGTCTGTGGCTTTAGCTTCCTTGTTTATGCTATGGCAATAAATAACAATTACTTTAAAGGTAGAAATGCCTGAGTATCTTTTGTAAAGCAGCCTTGATTCCTTGAGGCTGTGCTGCAAAAAATCAAATGTGAAAGGAACACACTGACTGGCTTGGAAAGGGAGAGGCTCAACATAGTCACCCAGATGTGCAAGTTACAGAACAGGCTGGGAGCACTCACAGGCATGTGCCAGGCAGGCTCCCAAGGGGCAGCAACAGCTCAGTACATCAGTAGATTAAAAAATTAGAGCCACTTGTTTGGTTCTGTCCTCACTGACCCCATTATCCTACATCTGGATAAGTCATAAAATGGGGATCCAGACTGCCAGAGGAATACAGCCATGTCAGGACAGCTGGGAGGGTGGCCCTATCCTTAAAAGGGACAAAGTAGCCACTGAAATTGTCTGGTGGTTGTTTGCTAGAACTAAGGCAGCAGTCAATGACACCAGACCTGCTCCTCTGTGGAGGCACAGAAGGAGAGGGCATCATTCCAAAAAGTGACACAGGGATCTATCTGCAAGTGGAGAGCAGTCACACTCACTTTTCCTCTGTGACCGTCTGACCATTGCTTCGTGTCTCCTCTATGATGATTTTCTCTTCCTCAGGAAGAAGGACTTGGGGGATGGAGTCTTTATGGGAGCCTGTGTACAAGAAATATTCATGAGGGAGAAAAAGGGGTAATCTTCCCTGGTGCTACATCAGAGACAGAAGCTCTCATTCTTCCTGCTCCACCATCAGCCTGGGGCAGACTGGAGATGTCAGCTACATCCCACTAACCCAGAGCTACAGCAGCAACTGGAAAATTTTCAAGAGTACTTATTGCATCTAAAGTTACATCATGACTTGTAATTGAAACCATCTGAGTAGGGTCAAGAGCTCCCCAAAGAACCACGGCCTCCCTTTTTTATATGTACCATTATTTGAAATTTCAGAGACTTAATTGGCTGACATCTCACCAGCAATGATAAATAGTTATATTTCCAGAGGTGAAAATGTTAGATAGGTTCTTATAAAGCAGGTTGTTCTTAAACACACACCTGATTGAGAGATAATACTCATGCTTCCTTTCTAAAGCTATAAGCAACCTGAGATTATCATCAGGTAATCACTGGTGAAATTGCAGTGTCTCATCTGCCCTCCTACCTGCTTCATTCTCTGTGTTTAGGAGAAAAACAATGTCAACTAAACCACTAGGCAGATAAAGCTTCCTTATCTCAAAGATTGAACACTACAGTTTCCTAGCACGAGTCTCGTTGCTGTATGATGCAACATCTTTTTTTCCCAAAGGGGTTATCGGTGTTGTGGGCAGAGTAGGAGCTAAATAATGTGTTTGTGTGCCCACCTGAGCTGAGAGCTTGCTGGAAGCCTGCCCCAGTACAGTATGCCTCAATCACCTTCAGGATCTGAGCATCCTCCTCCAGCGCAGCAGTACCTGTAAAACATTGCAAACAATAACATGCACAAAAACCAAGCTACTCTGGCCTTGTCTCTCCCAGTCTTTGCTCCCAAGCCCCTTAAGAGATCATGCTGTTTCTTTTTGCCTTACTGCCTCTGGGACTTTGGCCAATCTGTTTTGTGGTCCTTTACATTTTCTGGCATCAAGTACCATGAACAAATGGTGTGAAAACTTATCTCTAGCTGCTCATCTTGGCAAAGCTCAGACGATGATGCCCTACTTTGGGTGCAGGCAGCACCAGGAGATGGGCAGGCAAAGCAACCCTAGTGTGGGAGTTCTGGTACAGCAGCACCAGAGCAGGACTTGGAAACATGAAGTGTTTCCAGTCTCCGCTCAGTGCCATCTTCTCAAGGGAGAGGGCTGATCCTGGAGCTGGGCATGGCAGCATGACCATGGCTTGACCACGGTGATCACGGCCTTTCGTGTAAAGCCACCAGGGTGTGCCCCAAGTGGGCTCTACGGAGTTCTCAGGACACTCCTCTTTGCAGGTGAACATCCCTATAGGGATGGGGACCTTTTTGTTTCCTAATTCCCCATGGACACTGTTCTAGGACATGCTGGCATGGCCAGGTAAGGGCTTGTCCCAGCTGTCAGACATATTTTCGTGACCCTTGATGTGCAGTTTAATGCAGTTCTTAACTACCTGGAAATAGTTCCTTGGCTTCATACTCAGAATAAGACCACCCACAACCCATGACCTTGTGCTAGCAATCACAAAGAGGGTGGTGGCATGTCTAACTGGGAGGGGAGGAGAAATCTGTCAGAGGCTGAGGACCCGTGCACTTCCAGAAGTCTCCCATGCTCAGGAGCATGTGGGCTCAGAGTGAGAGCATCCTATCACATCCTGCACTGCAAGAAAGGGTGTTTTCAACGTCCCATGGAGATCACTGAGAACACAGAAATCTCCAGAAATGAAAGAAAAATAGCATCACAAAATGGTTGGGGTTAAAGATAATCTAGTCCCAGTCTCTGCCATGGGCAGGGACACTTTCCACTCGACCACATTGCTCCAAGCCCCATCCAACCTGGCCTTGAACACTTCCAGGGATGGGGCAGCCAAAGCATCTCTGGGCAACACTTACTTTTCCGAATAACAAACTCTTCATCAGATGGTTTTCTCTCAGTTTTCCTTTTTGGAAGAAACTTCTTCATTGTTTTTGGACTTTTGCTAGAATCCTACAGAGAAATAGACTCTTGTGTTTAACCAGAACCAAAGGCAGTTGGAACAGTGGAGCAGCACAGATGGATGCAGCTACCCATGCTACACACAACACTTTAGAAAGCTACAAAGCAGACAGTGACAAAGTTGGGGAAAATTATAGTTTTTTCCCTTCATATGTACCCACTGCTCCCTGGAACAGCAGTGGGAATTGCACCTGCGGGTTTGGGTCAGGACAGGCTCCTCTACTAAATGCAGCTCTTTAAAATCCTTTAGCCAAAGAATTCAAATACATTCATAGCACTTTTAGTTGCTTACAAACTCTGTGGTCTGTGCCAGAAAACCCTAAAATGTTGCTTATTCCATTGACTTAATTATTAATATAAAAGAGTTGGCAAATAGCTCTGCTTCTAAATGCCCACAGTTTGAGAGTATAAATCCCATACACAAATATACACAGAGAAGAGAACAAACGCACATAAAGTTAGTGTTTGCTATGACTCCATGAGTAAGAAACACAAGTTTTTATCTCCTTCACTCAGTTAAAAGCCTTGCTGATTTGGAAAGAATTAGAGTATTAGTAGGTTACATGCGATAGGGATTTAAAGGAGAAGAGGCATGCCAGGAGGTTTAAGTACCATAACACTAAATCCTTTCTGAGAGTTATCTTTAAATATATTTGCCAGCTGCTACGGACTCTGACAATAACTTACAGATACAACGAGGCAAAATTAGGGTCATGCAAGCACAAGAAGCATTAACAGAAACAAGCATTCTGTGCCACGACGAGCCAAAGAGATGTATCTACCCTTACCTTTAAGATATAAGACATCCTCTACAATGAATATGCAAAGAAAGAGAAGATGAGTGTGAGAGACTGATCATTTTTATCACCAAGTCAATTAAATCCACAATTCTAAACCACATTTCAGTGTTAGTCCTGAGATTAATGCAGCATCCCCTCTGTCCTGGTTTTAAAGCACTATCAACATGCAAAGAAGCACCGTGTCATGCAAAACTGAAAATTTACATGTGAGACACAGGATGACTGGGCATTAATACACTCTAAACACAGAGAACATGCTTTCTTGGTTAGTAGTGGGTGTCTGTAGATGTTGGTTGCCTAAACTGGTGCTTAGGACCGCAGGAGCCCCACGTGCCTGGCTCCACCCAAGTGCCAGGAAGCGCTCAGGGCCTGCCCTCAACACCAACTCCAAGGGCCTCAACTCAGCCTAGTCAGGATGTCAGGACACTCTGCCCACCCTGGTGACAATCTCCTGGGACTTCATCTTCTCAAAGGGGACCTTCCATCCTGACGGAAGACCTGACCATGTCAGGCATCAGCACTGCAACACCTCCCTGCTTCACTGGCAGGGACAGGGAGGTCCCTGCACATCCCGTGGAGGATTCCATCCCTGGGTCCCATCCCTGGGATGCTTGAACCAGGGGCCCACGAGGTCTGCCCAGCAAAGTCCTGAACCCTGATATTATAAAGTCTTCACCTAATGGAAAGCAGCCAGGTAAAAAAAAAAAAGTAGTAGAAGAAATGATGTATAAATAATTTTCCCTTTGCTAAACTGAATCCAGACACCCACAGAACTTACCTGTTCTGTCATTTCAAATGATTACTGGAAACAGAACAGGAAAAATACCCAATTTCAATGGAAATAACAAGAGTGAGGTGCCATACACAAGCAGGGTCTGAGGTTTCCTGAGCTGGGTACAAGGAAGTGTACAAGACTATGCCATCCTATCTTACGCTATGAGAAGACAAATAAAGTAACACTGGATGTCTAAAAATCTCAGCTCATTTAATCAAACTGTCCCACTCATTTCCCTGCAAATAACCTTTGAAATTTGTATTCCTTCATTATATCTTCATTATAGGAAGGTGCTTGCATGGAGCTGTCAGCATTGCTTATTTTGTGCTCAGCTTTAAATTAAAAAACCTAAAATACAGTGAAATAGGGATTCTGTTTAGGGATTAAGCATCCCAGAGGAAGACATGAGACAGCTGTGGATCTGCTTGGGCCAGCAACCAAACTTATTCCCCATCCGTCATCACAGACTTGTGTCCATGAGTCTCTCCCCAGGCTCAGGCAGGACTGAGTATCAGGCTGTGCCTGCCCAACTCTGCTGGACACGTTGGCCTTTGGGTTTCTACTGACATGATCAGCACAGCTTGTTCCCATAGAAGCCACATTTTTTGGTCCTATGGGATTTTGCAGGATACTATCCAGCATCCTATCCCTTGGGACTCACTGTGGGATGGGCCCCTGTGGCAAAAAGCTCTCCCCTGCTTTCGACACAGAGAGTTTAATTCCTGCTATGAGTGGCAGGGGACAAGAAACTACAAAGGACCACAGTATTGTATCCATCAATCTGTCATTTTTCTCACAGAAAAATTTCTCTTTTACCTCAAGCCAATATTTTTAATTGACCACACAAGAAAGAAAGGGTTTAGCCTCCATTAGGAATTTGGAACATGCAAAGATTATGGGTCATTTTCAGTCTGCTCAGTTAGTATTTAACCAATTCAATTCCCAAATTGAAATGTGTTACTTGACAAATTCTAAGAAATAAATGCAACAAGATGCAATGAGGCTACATAAAACCTCTACCTGGAGCAGCAGACCCACAGCTGTGCCAGCTGCCAGACTCTTCATCCCTAAGTGCTGGGAGGGCTGAGGGGATCCAAGCCCCCTCCCTGTCCCCATCCCCACTGGGGCAGAAACACTCCCAGGGCTGCTGTACCAAGAAAGGCAGCTGACTCAGACCCAGAGTGCTCACTCACTAAGAGGAACATTACCTGAGATACTGGTGAGTAATTCCAAAAATTTAACATGAGGTAGGGAAGGAGAGCACTACGGTTGTGGTGCAGGGTGCCAACAGCACTAGGCTGTATTTTGGGTTTTCCCACACCAACTCCCAGCGCCCAGACTGGGATTCCTGCAGATGAAGCAATCCCTCAGTTGCTGCCTCCCAGCAGGACCTGGCTGTATAACACTTGGTGGGTGGCAAAGGAGGGTCAAGCCCCACGTCCTGCTCCAGCCACCAAAACAGGGTGGAAGACACAAGAAGCATGGCCAGGCATTTTGCCTCTTCCTCATAGTGCACTATCACTTCTCAATGCCGAACCACTGAGCTGCTGCCACAGCTGGAGCTGGAACACATTCCAGCAGGGAGCAGGCCCTGTCCACATCTCAGACCAGGAAGGAGGAGAGAAGGCAGCTCCACCATGGCACTTCCAAAAAACAGGGCTCAATGGGACACCCAGATGTGGAACTGGTGAAATCCAGCAGCTGAGAGTGCTGGCTACGGCAGCCAACAGCTAACATCCAGCCTGCACACACAGGTACTCATGAGTCCCATGTAGCACAAAGCCCAGGACAGCAACCTACATCCATCACAGGACTAGGGCCACAGTGGCAGAGTAATTTCTCTCAACATCCCCAAGAACCTACATTTCTGTGTCCCTGCTCTGGGATACGGAACCTGTACACAAGGTCTAGGGACTGTGTGAAATCAGGGTCCTGGATAGGGAGGCGGGATTATTACCTCTTTGTAACTCAGTGCTGCTGAAGGTCTGAGTGGAGGAGCAGGACGGAGGCAGCTCAAGCTCCAGGGCTTGAGGATTTTGGGGGGTTCCAGAGGCCCACGGATCTGCCCAGCTGAACTAAATGTCTGAGAAAATAGATGAGAAGCAAACCAAGACTGTTAATCACCAGACAAGGGAGAGAAGTGAAGGGGGATGGACAGGCGTTAAAATACTGCGACACCTAAGTTGCAACATAAATAGGGCAGGATACATGTAAAATGGTACAAGCACAACATGGTTACAAAGCAAAAGGCAGGATGTGTCTTACAGCTGTGTGTTACCTCAGAGTCAGGGTGCTGCTGAAACAGAGAGCTGAGGCAGCAGTGAGGAACCCAGGCAGCAGAGGCCAGGAGGTGACACTTACTGAATGAGGACTCCAGGACTGTGTTTTGGAGATGGTCCTGCATGTCCCTTTGGTCAGCCTTTGCAAGTGGTCAAGCCATTCGTGCAAGTCCTGGCTGGTGCTGCAGGACACAGTGATCCGCTCCATCATGTTCCCTGTGGCAGAGAGTTAAATAACTGTCTTTAGCAAGTGGTAGAGACTCAGGAGGAAACAAAGGGTGAGATCAGTTCAGCACAGCAGGAAATGGCTCCTCAGTTTGCACAGTCCAGTGGCTCCAAAAAGGTTAGGGCAAAGAGAGAAGTATTAATCATTAAGAATCATTAAGGTTGGAAAAGACATCTAAGATCATCAAGTCCAACCATTAAACCAGCACTGCAAGGTGCACCACTAAACCACATCCCTAAGCATCTCATCTACAATGATGATGAGACTGCCCATGCTGCTCCAGGCAACCACTGACAGTGTGGGAGCTGCAAGAAATGCTAAGGGAACAAGTAAGGTGAATGTGTGAGGATTATTTAATGTTGAAGGTCATTAAACACAATACTTCCGTGATGAACAGGATCCTGGCACTAAATACCACCAGCACAAACAGCTGCACTGCAGCCCAGGCACTGAGCATGAAATGACCTGTGTATACCTACAAGCAATGAGATACACTGAATGGGGAAATAGGATTAAAGCTCCCTCATGACCAGAACCAGGTATCTGTCAATAAATGAGGTACTCAGAGCTACAAGGCATGGCTACTGGATGCAGACAGGGCGCACCAGCGCAGAGCAGTGCTACTGGGGCTAGAGATTTGTCCCATACAAAGCACTGTGGTCTCCAAAGGCAGCCAGAGGCAGAGCTCCAGGGCACTTGGAGGAGATTGCCTCAAGCAGGACAGAGTTGCTCAGAAACTCAGACAACACACGGCAAAAGAGCAGGAGAAAGATGGCAGGGGGTTAGTGGGAGGCGGACCAGTACTTCCAGTGGCAACTCTTGCTTGCACTGGGAGGACTGCCCCAGGCAGAGGGCCCCACTGACCTGTGATTTCAAACATGTGCTCATTCCCTTCGGCATCTTCCAGCTTTGTCAGCATCATTCCTGTCAAAGGCAGCTTTCCCTGGGAGAATTGAAGAGCAGTCAGTGCCAGCAGGTGTTGTTCTGCTTGTTTCTGCTGATTCCTTTCTCTTTGGAAATTGCCATTTAAAATTAATTTGTGAAGGCTTCGGACTGCATGAAGAGTCTCCTTTAATGTATGGAACTAGATCTCCCTGCACAACTAGGTCAAACCCCAGAGATGAGGCTCCCATGACAACTGAGTCATCCCTGGCTCATCTGCCACCCTTTCCCTTCATTCAGCGCAAACCTTTTTTACAATCAAGTCAGAAGGATCAATTTCCCCTGGCTTTTTCTGAAAGCCTTCCCCATCCTTCTGATTTGCATGCTGAACTGCCTACTCACCTTACTCCCACCAGTGGGTCCAGCCAGAAAACCCAGCCAAATATTTCCCAAATCTTTCTCATCTTCCTTGCTACAACAAATGTCACAACAAAACAAGAGCATCCTTTTCCTGGCAGTATTGATGGTTTCAGACAGCTGGAGAAAAGCCAAGCTCTCAACAGGCATTGGAGGGTATGTAAAATGGTAAAACACAAGAAATGCAGAGTTGTATGTAGTAGTACCTCATGGACTGGAATTTTCATGCACTCTGCAGTGGGCTTTATAAGTATTTTCCAGAGATGGCACAAAACTGAGAGCCAGCTGGCGGGTTGAAACCCTGTTCCAGCTGGAACAGGACACCTTAGACACAGACCCTACTCTCAAAAACAGCAGGTAGAACAACAGGTTTTGAGGTTTTATGTTTTTTTTTTTTTTTTTTTTTTTTTAATTTCAAAGCATTCACTTACCAAATGCTGCTTAACCAAAGATCAGGACAAAGGCATTGACTACCCTGGCATATGGTAAAGCCAAGCCCTGGTTCCCAGCCTGGGGTGTTTGCATCACAACAGAGAGTTCAAAGGATGCAGAGGACTCAAATTTGATAAGAACTATCTGTTTTGCACTCTTACACCGAACGCCTTGCAACTTCAAACTAAGCAGGCCTACCTGATAGATGAACCCACTCATCCGTGGGCTTGCAGACAGCATCAGCAAAACATTAGAAAACAACAAGAAATACCGCTCCTCTTTCTCCTAGGGGGATAAGAATTTAAGTTAGTCCAGTCTGCAATGCATCACAAGCACCTGCCTCTAGCAAACTGAACCTGTTGCAGCTGGAATCACAGCCGGTGAGATCACCCCCAAACCAACTATTCTGGCTTTTTTTTATTTACAGCATCTCATTTATGTACCAATTTTCCCTGCAGAGATTTTTGCCTGCATCCTGCTAATCCTCTTCCAATCATTGCAGAGTGCCTCAGAAGGCCTTATGTTCCCCAGCATCTCACATCCCAAACAAGAAAGACTTTTGGGACTGGATAGTGCATGGGTTTGTTTTACAGGTCTTCCCTTCCCAGGGAAAAACTGTAACAGCAAAAATTCAGTGCTAACAGGTACTTTCCCACACTGAGCATGCAGCACACATGGCTGTAGCACCACTGTGGAAGGTCTGTGTCAGGCACTGGTGCGATGCATTAGGACTAGTAGGACAAGAATCACTCACTCCAGTTGCTTCCAAAACACAGTCAGCTCTGGGATGGGGTGTCAGAGCAGCCCCTGTGATGCACATAGCACATTTTCTAGTCACTCTCGTTTCTCAGAGTAAGTCACAGGGGAGAAAGAGGGAAATTAATGCGCTATATGACACTGAGATACTTCTCTTGAAAAGTGGGTCACCAAAGGCCTGAAACTAAGCCTATAGCGTGCCTGATTCACTCCAAAGATATGCACAGTCCCATTGCACAGGTCTTCCCAAGGTAAAATTATTTACCAGCATTATTTGTCATCAGTTTGTGGCTTGGAAGGAGAGGAACTACCACCTCACATCACTTACCCTGGGAGCAAGTGGGTATTCAGACATGAAGTCTACAGCCAGCAGAACATCACCACACTCACCTCACTTCCCCCAGACTGCACCATAACCTGGGACATGTAGATGACATTTCCCATCATTTTTATGTCCTCTCCTTCCCAGCGCTGGATGGATTCAGAAAGGATCTGCAGCTCAAGTTGTTTCCTCTTCCTCAACTCCTGGCATTGTGACTGGGAATCACAGCAGAGCTTAGTTAGCCAAAGGGCAGAAGCCAACCCAAACCATCCCAGTTTCACCAGCAACAACTCACGCAGCCCTGTGGGCTCAGAGATGATCATGTCAGGGATCAGAAAAACCTATTTTGGCTCCATTACATGAAGTCTGTTAAAAAATCACATCCCAGTGATTTATGAAGTAATGATTACATTCAAATGTCAAGGAAATTGCAAACTGCTCTGAGCAAACTTTTCTTTCCAAACCAGCCCCACCTCTAAAAGTTCAGGGTCACAATTTCCAAACCAAGACGGCTGCACAGTTAAATGTCTCTAATTTTGCTATTGCTTAGAGGGATTTCGCTGGTTTTGTCCAAAGAGCAGAGTTGAACTTGTAGCACTGCAAGGTCCCCAACAAGTCAGATGGGTGGATATTTTCCAACCAAAATCTGGGAACCCAAAAGCAGGACTAGGTGGTGCTGCAGATTAGCACAAAAAAGAATCTTCTGAAAGTGCTGTTATTGAAAAGACTGCACCAGTGCTGGGCACCTGGGGACTGGAGAAGCTTCAGGTAGTGACCAGTATCTCATCAGCTCTCAGCAAGAGAGGACAAGGCTGACTGAACAGAGTCCTGCAAATCCAAGCAATACTTTCTTTAACTGACCTCTCTGCCAATGGGGCAAATTGTTGCAAAGGTAAACCAAGGCTATTTTCACCAACTTCTTGGTTTTTCCAAACCCCTTTATGTGACAGAGATTTTCCTCCTTTCCAATTCACTGACTATCCAGCTCTGCAAAGAGAGAGGCTGCACTGGGTCTAGATTGAAACCACACACATTTGAACCAAACTGGGGTTTACTCTGGTGCTACAACTATCGTATGTTTTGATGGCTCCCCAAGTGTCCAAATCCAACGTTCCCAGGATAAAACTCCAAATAAAATCCCCAGGAGTTCATCACAGTCTCTGCAGAGGCACCACTGTGACTCACAGCAGCTCCTTGGTCCCTCCCTGCCTTTGCTTGGGAGCCTTCCTGGTCCTATAACAGGACCACGTGCCCATCACAAGGGGCATCTCTGCCCGTCTAACCTCAAATTCACACCGAACCTCTTTAGTTGTGCCATAATGACATTAAATTACTCATCACCCAAGTACACATTTCAAGTAAAACCATCCAGCGCTTACGAGATTTCCTAAAGATTAATGACACCTTGTAATTTAAATGAGTTATTCCCCTATCAGCTTCCAGAATAAATAGAAAGGGTTCTGAGTTTCTAAGTAAATGTAACACAATCACCCTTTCCTGTTTTCTATGAACTTTCTTCTCCCCATCTTTTATCTGCACTGCTAAACACTTGCATTTGTCACAAACAGGTGACATCTGTTATGCTAAAGGAAGGAAGCTGGACCATATCTGGAGTGATTATAGTGAAAGGTCCTCTGTGGCTACAAAGCAAGAGAGACTAGAGTTTTTTTCCATAAAAAGCTTTTCCAGGTAAAACCTTTGTGCATATGGATGGCTTTTCCCCTTCTATTTCATCTCAGTGCAGCAGGACTTTGAGGGGTGCAGGCTACAGAGTTCACAGAAATGGGTTTGTTGTCTCTGACTCACCCATTCTCTCTGTTCCCCACCGATGGCCACAAATTACCACCTGGAGCCACAAATTACTGAAATGTGGTCCAAGCCTCCTGATGCCTGTGGAGCAAACCTCAGCAAAATTTCCCGTTGGCACCAGCACTTGGGTCAGTCACAGCTGTGCTAACCTCTCACTCAATGAGCAAGGAGTGGTCTAGTTTCAGGTGGAATATGATTAGAGATTGAAGGCAACGGGACATGAAAGGGACCCTGCTGCCACCACGGTGCACACATGGCTTTCAGTAATAGAGGAGAAAGAAACTTGGAGATCCACCATCTCTGCTCTGGCACTATAGAGCCAGCATGTACTTGCCACAGCCACAGGAGCAGCTCTAGGCTTGAAATGTGAAATGAAGTTTCTTTGTAACCCATCTTTTCCATTCCAAAAGACCTTTTTTCCTAATGGGGAGACAAATGTCAGGCTTGACTCATTCTTCATGAAAAGCAGACCTGAAATGGAGGGCTCTATTTTAAGAATTGCCACCTACCACAAGGGACTTGAAGGACGTGATGGCTTTCAAAACATCTTCATGATCTGCATGCGCCTCCTAGTGAAGGAAGAGCAAATTCCTCAGCCGTCAGCAGCAGCAGGACCCACCCTGAGTGTTAACCCACCCTGAGCATCACCCACTGTTCCAGTACGCTCAGGGCTGAGGATACAGGCAGCATGGTATCCAGGAGGAGGTAAAAGTCTCCCAGGTACCTTCCCCACCATCCACTTCAACATGGCATGGCAAAAGGCAGCTATGCAATTTACTGATACCGATTTAATGAATGTGAAGTGGCCAGAGCAAGAGTAGGTATGACTGGACTTAGAACAAATCTGACTTGCAAAGAAAAATCAATGAAAACAGGCAGGGGTGCAGGGCACACCTTCAGGAAGGAAACTTCCATTGCAGTGCCAGATATTCCAGCCACTGCCCATCAAGGGTGGAAACCCACCACCATCAAGGGGGCTTCAACGCTGGCCTTAAGGGAGGGCATGTCTAAGCAGAGAGCTCTTGGGCCAGGTAAAAGCAGAATGGTGCCCCTTATCTCTGACCCCAGCTGTATGCTAGTACTCTCCCAGAATGTTCTCCTGGATCTAAGGCCCAGCTCCTCATCACCAAGTCCTCATGCCAAGCAAATCATAAGGTGTCAAGGTTGTCATGGACCTGCCCCTGCAGCCTGGCATTGCTCATCTGCAGTGTGGGACGAGTGGCTGCCCTGAACACACCTGCCCCCTCAGCAGCTCTGCAGCAGTGCAGGGAATGCTGTGGTGTACATCTACACTGAACACAGCCATCCTCTTCCCACAGCATCACAGCTTAAACCTCAGGCCTACTGATTCATGCAACAAAACTCCCACGCTCAGCTTAGAAACCAAGACAAATAGGTGACATGTGTGTCCCCAAACCCACTGCTGAGCCGCCTGCGAAGAGCAGGCAAAGAGCACAATGCAAATCCTGCAAAGAGCACATCATCCCTGCACGGGCATGGTGGCTGCAGCCAGGCTCAGCTCAGTCCCTGCAGCTCAGCTCAGCCAGGTGAGAGGGAAAGGTAGGTCTGCAGTGTGCCCACCCTGCAGGCTCTCATGCCCTCTCCTATGCAGGAACATCCCTGGCTCAAGCATAGAAGATTTAATCCTTTGGCTTGCTTGTAGGTCATGGGTAAATGTCATGGGTAAATGTGCTGAATTAACTGGTAATTAAAACTGGATGAGGAGAAAAAGGAAACTTGCTTAAAAAGAGATTGTTACTTCTGTTTTCTCCAGCCCCTTGCACCACCCCTGAGTTTTGCCTTCCTGCAGCTGGAGTGCACCAGCAGTGAGTAGCAGAGCTCCAGTAGCAGGGATCTCTACAGTCCCTGGGGCAAGAAATGTCCTGAAGCACACTTGCTTCTTGCCAAGGAAGTCTCTGTGCCCTTGACTGCTCTCCCTGCTCCCAGGGGCTCACTCTCTACCCCTGTGTCTGTGCTGGTGGCCAGATCCATGTCTGTGCAGATCTGCCCCCACCCAGGAGCACAACCCTGGGGCAAGGGGTGGGAATGTGCCTGCGAGCCACAGGAGTGAGTGGCCAGGCTTAGGAATCTCATCAAATGATAACAAAACCACAGATTTATTCTTGGCTGTGCAAATAAACAGCAACTGTAGCCTGTCCCTAGACTCTGCTTTTACTCGTGCTGGAAATGGCCCATCTTTGAGGAAGGGCTGGAGTGAAGAATAGGTAATGTGCTTCCACAACATTCCTCAGACTCTTCCACCAGTTTCTCACTTTTAATCTGAAAGGTGAATAATGTCTGGGGGACATGGGACATCTCCCTGGAGATGTGGTAAGTACTTTTAGCCACATGATGCTCAAATACCAAGAGGCAGAGGTGTCTCTTGGAGCCCAGGGAGCAGCTCTGCAGCATCCAGAGGCAGAGCCTGCCCAGCAGCCCACCCACCTCCATGTGCCGCTCCAGCTCCTGCAGCAGTGTCACGTATTTATCCAGCCTCAGGAAGGGTTTGCTGAGGCTTGTGGTCAGGATGAGAATGCCTGGGCTGGCCGCACCTTGGCTCTCCATGAACTTCTCCAGCTCATCACTATAAAAAGAGACAAAAAAAAAAAAAAAAAAAAAAACACAGCAAGGAGGTTTCTCAGAGCTGAGGGCTGTGTTTTACCCATGCTCTCCTGATGGCCAGGGCTCTGCTCTGAGCTGGGCCTCCTTAAAGGCAGCACAAACTCCCCTCTGAGCACCACCCACCCACTCCATGGAGCAGGCAGGGAGCTTCTACCCAAGCAAGACCTTTCTCCTCTGGAAAGCAGGAGAGGATGTAGGAGAGGTCGTGTGGCCACAGGTGCTGGAATGCACAGCTCTGGGGCACATTGGTGCCAGCAGCTGGTCCCCCAGCACAGCAAGGTGGCACAAGGGCAGGTATCTGGTGGATGGGGAGAAGGGGAAGGGGGATGCACAGGCTGGTGTTGTGCTGCAGGAGGCTGCAGCAATGCACTGGGACCCTGCTGGAAACTGTGATGCAGGTGTTTGCATGTACATTGCTCCAGAGAACATGGCTTCTGTGTGTCAGCACATTTGCCAAAGCTGATTCTTTTGTTGATTTAGGAAAAGGGGTCAGACTGAGGAATCACAGGAATGAGTCATTTGCTGGAGCCGGGCATGTTGTTACACTGAATTAAAGCTGGTTTTCAGCAGGTAAGTAAATACACCGTGAGTTCCCATTGCAGAATGGGAAGACTTAAACACTATGCATTTGGATCTGGCTTTCCCATCATTGCAGGGAAGACAGCTAACCTATATTAGGGATGACACAGTTGTAGCATCTTGGCATGGCACACTCTTGAGCAGGACATCACACAAATTCAAGTGTCTACTCATGTGGGTCATGTTGAAGAAAGAAGTTATTAATGTGTTCTACCAATGACCCTGAAAATCAACCATTTGGTTGAATAGAAGCTCAGTAAATAAACTGGGTAACCGGGTGACTCGATGACCACTCTCCTTCTGCAGTGATGTGCTCCCCACCGTGGTGCCACAGGGGAACACTCTCCCATTTGTCAGTGTGTGAGCACTTGAGCAGTAGACCTGAAACAGCATTTGGCTTGTTTAGCAAGTAAAAATCACAGAAGATGCCACTGCCAAAGCTGAGGCTGCCTGTTTGACCCAAGGTGGGAGCCCTGTGCAAAAAAGGACCTGTGAGATCAGCTCTGAACACGAGCAGTGTGAGTTGTCTTCATGCTGAAGCTGAAAGGCCCTGCTGAAAAGCCCGAAGTCCCAGCAGCAGGAAATAGCATTGACCTATTGTCAACACAGGTCAACGGCCATGCCAGGCCAAGTATTAATAACAAAAGTTAACTTTTTAAAGGAGTCTGAATCTCCTTCTCCATCACCTACCTGTGCTGTGTGAGGACATTCACTGCTGAAGGGTGGTTAGCACAGTACGTCAGGTACAGGGAGCGGAACTGGGGCATCAGGTTCATGAAACAGCCTCCCACATGCTGCTGGTTCTCAGGGAGCCTGCAGACACCAACACACCAGCTGTGTTAAGCCTCTGGATCTGCACCCTGCAGCTAGAGCACTCTCAGGGAGCTACCCACTGCTCAGGGACATTCCCAGGTCACCTCATAACTGCAGCACTGAGCAAAATATCTTCACCTGCCATCTGGGCAGGAGGAAGAGGGGGATCCTCAGGTGGGTCTGGGTTCCTGTGGTGCAGACAGTGAGCATCACAACCCATTATCAGCCTCAGACAACCTGTGACTCAACCTGATATGTCTCACCAGCAGAGCTACAGCTGGGATGATGGGGAAGAGGATGTGCTGGAACTAAGGGCAGTGTGAGGGTGGGGGGTTACCACTCTGGGCTGCCGATGAATATGAAAAGACAGGGAGAAAAGAAGCCACAGTCTGAATATATTCTCAATATTCCATCTTACCCCATCTCTTTTCAGCCATTAGAGAAGGCTAATTATGTCTGTCAGCTTCCCTGCAGGAAATTATCACCTCTAATAATCTGCTCTTTGCTCCCTGGCAATTCCCATCTTCATGCCTGCCCGATCTCCCACCCTGCATGTGCCTCCATCTTTGGGTTAGGCAGACTTCTGTGTCAGTTCTAGTGACACTCATTCAGCACATGCTTTAACACCAGCAATCTCAGAGTTCCTTCTACTTTTCCTCCTGCCACAGCACCGCCTGCAACCTTTCCTCAGTCCTGTTATTTTCTTCTATATTTAACAAGTCTAAGACAGCAGTCAGGAGAAATATTAATGAACATGCCTTTCTATTATTTTTAGCTATAGTTAAAAAGCTTAACAACCGCCGTGCTATGACACAAACTTACTTTGCAACTTCTTCCAAGGCTTGGTTCAGTGTTTGCTGAAAAGCAGAGATTTCTTCCATGTTTCCCAGCAATGCTGCCGTGTCCCCAGTGCTGAGCCTACAAGAGCCACATCACAGTCACCATCAAAGAGAAGTTGCTCTCAGGAGCACCCCATTTTTATTCATCAGCAGACCTTCCAAAAAGGCACAAAAATTTCTCCTTCCCCAGATACAGCATTGGACAGAACACAAAATTCATGGTCTGTGAACTACAGACCAAAGTCTCCTAGAGAAGGAGTCTGCTGCCAAGGATTATCTTAATTGGATTTAAATCACTTAATCCCACTAATCTTGTCAGATCTTTAGCTGTCTAATAGACACAGACAGATGGGATTGCAGCCAGAGCTGGGGAGGGAGGTGTGTGCACAGACAGAGAGTTTTGTCTTCAGGGATTCATGTCATGGGTTTCCCTATGGGAGGAAGGTCCAACAGGCAGGGGCTTCTTTGCCCGTTGAGTGAGGTTGGGTGCTTCCAAAGCTTATGTGCCTGCTTCTCTCATCCTAAGAGTCATAACACCCTCATTTAGGCCTACAAGGCTGAGAGCACAAAAATTTTCCCACATGAAGATTTTGGGAAGGGAGAACTGACTGAAATACAGAGGCCTTAGAATACAACTCTCCCATCTCTCCTGACCGGACAATGTCTAAACACGTGCCCTCTGTCCATGACACCCCAAGGATCCCACAATGTTCTCTCCATCTCAGATGCCCTTTTATCTTACTTATCACAAGACTGGAGGGGTCTTAAGTAAGTTCCCAGAAGTGACTGTAGTTCCTTTGCATAATCTCGTTCTGTTTCCAGAATATTTTGCAACACCTAGGGTGAGAGACAGAGCGCTGAAAAGATCTTTGTTCCAGCAAACTAGTCAAAAGAACATGACATCAGCTTCCAAGTCTGGCAAAGCATGGAAGTGTATCTTAAATCCAGAGATTACATTTCTTAATGCAGAACCCAGAACACTCAGGGAAGTCCTGGTGGTCAAATATTGAGATTTTACTTTGCAAACTTGGGGAGGCCTGGAACGCAGGTGTTAAAGGCTGCACCAAGGATGGCTTCTGCGGTAGATTAAGCAGGGCACACCTCATTTGCCACTTCAGGGATGTAATGATCTGGATTTGGTGCTGTTAATCCATCTCAGCAGCTGGTTTGTCTCTGGCTGCACAGCAGACAAACACAGTGCCTGCACCTCCCAGTCAGCACTCCAGTTTCTCAGTGTTGATAAGCTCTGGAGACAGTGGAGGTGATTTCAGCTCCCTGGACATACTGCTTCTGCTTTGCTTTGCTTGATATATATTCAGACATACTGATGATCAGGATTCAGCTCCAGCACTGTGAGCCAGCGATGCTCACCTGAGGCATCTCAAAGCCAAGCCCAGTTACAAAGCCAGGCCATGAGCTGCGGCAGCTGCTGGCAGAGGCCTAGGACAAGCACCATGGGGTGTAACATCTCCAGCCAAACCCAAGAAAGCGGCCAGAGCCCTGATTTTGCTTGCTTACACCATGACATTATCTCCCTATCTTTATCAACAGGAAATACTGTGTCTTCTCCCCTAGCATTGATCTGAAAGCTGCAACCTCTCCTTAATTATCTCAGTTGTCTGCTTCAAGTCTCTACTTTTGACACCTTGCAGCCACTTCCATTTGTGGTTTATTGTGTCAATGGCCTTGAATAAAGGGAATGGAAACAGCTGCATTTAAACACAGAGTCACATCCCCAGTTGTTAAAATTGCATCAATGATTTTTAAGGGAAGGAGCTACTTCAGAAGATTAATAACATGGTACTTATTAAAATGTATGATCAGAACTTTAAAACTTACCACAGGGTAATAATTCTTTGTCATCTGAGTGTTTTCTAGCCCTTTCAATGCTTTGGGAGAGAGTGGTTTATCTGTACAAAAAAAAATCCATGAATAAATTACAGTGCACAGCTCTCATTATTCCATCAGGAAAAGACACTGCCACATTACATCCAGCAAATATAACTTCACCCCTCTGACCACAAAACTTTAATTGCAGGGTTTGTTTCCCCATTTCAAAAAAAACTAGATTAAAACCAGTGGCATGCACGACACTGACAGTGGCCAAGCGAGTCACACCAGAAGCTTTGTGCAGCCTCTGCCCAACCAACATCCAGGTTTGCTCCAAAATCCCTGGCAGCAGCCCAGTATCTGTCAATGTTTGGAACTATAGTGTTGCTTCACCTGGCCCACTAAATTTGGTTTTAAAATTGGACTTCAGTCAGAAATGACAGATACTATCTTTTTTAGCAGGTGATTCACAAGGCATTTGAAGCCAACCCCAATCAATATGCTGACCTCCTATCCCCACAGCCACTTGTGATGCAAAATCCTTCTCTGAATGAAGGTTGATTTAAATGAAAAGCTCACAAAACCCTGGAAATCAATTCTCATTCTGCATTTGATAAATCCCTGTGGATGCCTCCAGCTCTTTACATATGCACACACACACACACGGACAAATCCCTGCTCCAATTTTCCTTCCCTAGAGAAGCCCCTTCCCTTCCAGCAGCACGGCCTTCCCAGCAACACCATGCTCCCTGTGGACGGGGACAGGCAGGCAGGGCAGGCTGCCCCAGCCCTGGCCACGCTGCACACACTGAAATGTGCCACGTGCCACAGCCAGGCTCTCCTGGCTCCCTGAGATTGCTCACACAAGGCAATTACCTGCACACTGACAGCAGGGCAGAAACTTGAAATTGATAAATTTATTCTCTTTATGTACTGTCTAAATATCACCCTTGTTGTGCTTCCTGTCACTTCCAGCTAAAGGCTCAGAAGAGCTCAGCTCCACAGTTATTTCACAGAATCACAGAGTATTTCTACCGAAAAGGCACACCTAGGACACAGCAGAGGTATGGACACTGCTGAAAAACAAGTAACTCCATTCAGAGCGTGTCTGGTCTTACACTGTGGAGGTGGGAAAAGCAGCTCCCTGCCAGCTGCAACTCCAGCAGCACTCCTGGGGCAGGGAGGGATAATGACGGTCCCTCACTCCTCACCTGCAATACACACACATCTCCTGAGCATGCACACACCAGGGCAATGACCCTCCTGTCACATCAAATGGTGCTGAGAGAGGATCTGGAGGGAAAAGCTCTGCAGACAGAAAAATCTCATGGGCTCTTCCATCACGATCTATGGGAGACTGGCCCTTAACTTCAGTGAGGTATTGTCACATCATGCAGCTCCCACATCTGATTTTCCCTTCAGGACTCAAGTTTGCTCTCCTTTGTTTAAAACATCTCTTTTCTACCTTCACTGAGTTAATTAGCGATTCCTAAGTTGTGCCAGACAAGCCTTCAATCCCTGCTACAACTTCCTGCTCCAGCTCAGACATCATTTCCCAGAGGGAGATGAGATGATTTTTTTCATTTAGAATAAAATAAAAACTGACCTAATTCTGAGCACTATATTGTGAATTTTTTTCTCCTCCTTTGCTTCATTTTTGCAAGAGTAGAAGAAAGGATGTCTAACAGGGGCTGCACATGTTGCAGCTACTTTGCAGACCCCTGCTGGCATCTCAGCGTTTGAGGCTAGAGCCAATCCTGAGCCACAGAACCAGCATCAAGAACACAACTGGTCTCTGTCTATGGTAAGTGCTCAAAGTGCACTAAGGAGTTAAGTTGCATTTTGCAAAAAAAGGGTTTAATTTCACAGAAAGGCCTGGACAGGGGTGAGCTGTCTGAATGGATGTGTAATGCAGTTGGGCAGGGGCTTCACATCCTCACCACCCTACGTCTGGGTACAAACACATCACAGAAAATGTTCAGGACACTCAAGACAAAGCTCAGTAAAGGCAGATGTCATCAGGCAGATCATCCCCTCTCTCTTCCTCTCTCAACATTGCAGCAGAAACATCTGGGGAAAAATGTACTCTGTGAAATCAACCATCACTATTGGACCAAAACATTGACAACGCCCTGTGGCCATGCAGTTTTTGTCAGATTCCACATCGTGATGGTGAGCATCCATCCCACTGACGCCTGAAAAGCCAGGATCAAGCACAAATACATTGCCTGACCAAGGTCTCTAACAAAAAGCTAGTTCTGATCTCAGACACTGACAGCTCTCCAGGACAAAGGGGACTCACATCCATCTCTGTCCTCATCCTCTGACAATATCCCTGCTTACATGCTGCTGGGGCTTGGGGGAAGCAAGAGAAACGCACAATGTGGTGGGAAGAAGGTGAAGCAGCTCTCAAGCAATTAATCCGAAACACTGCACTTTACCCTTCCGTTCATCCTTCCATTAGCCCAGCTGCCTGAAGTACACAAACGGTCCTTAATAAATAGCAGCAATTTCCCAAAGGCATGAGGGTCCTCACTGCATTATGCCACTGTCATTCAATCAGCCCTTGAAAGCAATTTGCTTACCAGTAGATTTGATTTCTCTGACGTAGTTGCTTGGGAACCAGCCTGTTTTTCCATTCAAGGTGCCTTCCCACCAGCCCCCTTCTTCAACTCGAGTGACATAAATAATGTCTCCTTTGTTAACAGAGAGTTCATCTTCATTGGTCTGCTTAAAATTGAACCTGGCCTTTACCACCAGCTGGTGACTGCCATTCTCAGTCATCTCCTAAGGGAAGAAATGTGGAAAAACATCAGTAAATAGTCAAAAAACCCCAGAAACAACTAGGACAAGCCATTGTTCTTCTCTGTTGTGACAGCTGTTTTCTCAGTATTGCTCTGTATAACAACCAATAATATGTTGCTGCTGTGTAAACACTGCCTTCAGAGGACCACAAGGTCCCTCCCAAGCATTAATTTAGTTTTCCAGTGCAATGGGTGGCAGATAAGAATCACTCTTCTCATGTCACACAGAGAAACACTGCAGTTTGGAGAAGCTGCAGGACTCCCTCCAACTGAGACAGCAAACCCATGATGGAGATCAGGGGAGAACAACCTCTGGTGTTAACCCAGAGGCACCAATCACAACCTCCCCCCAGGGCCACCAAACCCATGATTACACGTTAAATAAAGGGTACCACAGGCTTGGACTGCCTCCGTAACACCCTTGCTGACTGGGAAGCTGTGCTGGTGGAGTCACTCTGGGGGTCTCCAGCCGTGGAGTTAAGAGAGGACAGATGTGAACATGGCCCTTTTGACAGCTGATCTGGGGAAACAAAACAACATCTGAGTGTTACTCAGCTGTCCACCATCCCTCCACATCACAGCAAAGCAAGGAGCCTGTAAAGAGAACAGGAACAGGTCACAACAGTTCAAAGAGCATCTATGAGAGCAAGACAGCAAGTGCATGGCATTTGCAGCATGGCTGCTCTCAGCCAGCAGTGAGGGTGGTTTTCTGGGCTGGGATAACGCTTCCATCATGGAAGAAGTTGAATTGCATCTCAAGGCACTCCTGGGTTGTGCCAGCTTTGCAGCCACACATCCAACTGCTGTATTTCTTTGAAATCCCCCTTAAAACTGTAGAAAAGTAGAAAAGTACTCAGTACTGTGGTTTCCCACTGGGGGTGTTTCTGGGATCAAAGTAAATACTGCTGAAGGTGCGTCAAAGCTTAGCTCTCCAGCAAGTGCTCTTAGGTCACCTCTGCAGCTGCAGTGTGGGCTATCCACACTGAGCAGGGAGGAATGCTGAACAGCTGGTCAACACAATCGCTCCTCTATTTAGAGGAGTCCTTCTGGGTTCATTATCCAGCTGAAAGAGGCTAGGCACTATTTTGATTGCTGTTCATGGACCGTTGCCATCAGTCATGTGAAAGAGGGATTCAAGCCATGCCGAGGAAGGACAGGAGTGTCATCCCCAGGAGATGAACTGCTCACCGAAAGGCTCAGATCATCCCAGCAGCTCCTGGAGCTGCCTCCTTCACACTCAGAGCTCCTTGCTTTGCAAACCAGTCTCTAGGCTTGTTTTTCTCCCCACCTGATGCTGGAGGCAATGCTGCTGCTCTGACACATCTGTTTTTGTAATTAGTGATTTGTTTCTATATTAATACCAAAAAAATTGCCAGAGGGTAAAAAGTTTCCTGGTCCTAACTGTGCAGAGACTGAGTCAGTAGCTGCTCTTGTTGCTAAGAGCAGTTCCAGCTCTGGCAGAATCTGGCATGCTGAACCCCAGAATCCTGCTGGATGCTGCAGAGGTGTAAAAACATGGGATACAAGCCACCCAGTAATTCCCAGTGCTTCACTGCTACTCTACCCCATACCACACTGTGGGACACCACTCAGATCACCTCCTTTGTGTGTTCCATGGTGGTGAAAAGACACAACAGGAGATATCATTTCAGTAAACATGAGGGATTTTTAAGATTAGTCTTGTAGCTTCTCTTCAGATTTTAGGACCTTTCTGCATTCCAGTGTTGCAGGTTTCCACCTGCAGTGGGGACCACACGTCTCCATGGACCTCGAAAGCAGAACAGAGCAGTCTGCAGGAATCCCTGTGCTGGGTGTGCAAGTCCATGGACCACGTTTGGAATTCTGCCTTGAAAACATGGCAAGAGGAGAGGGTGATACAGCCATAAAACGTGTGCAGAAATCAGAAAAGACAAACTGCAAGGCTGCTTTTCCTCCATTCTCCTCCAGTCTGAATGTCAGCATGGAAAACTCATTCTGAAGGGGAAGTTTGGTAGGAGTTACAGGAACTCAGCTGGGCTTTTATTCTCCTCAGAGGATTTTTATTTCAATAGGAAAATATCTCTTCCTTAGACTGGACCTGGAACAACACAAACTGTGAGCTCTTGGGGAAGAGACTTGCTTTGTCTCTCTCCTAACCCTTGCACAGTGGGGACCAGGTCCTTGGCTATGGCTGCCAGAGGCTGCTGCCTTACAAAGCCCAGCCATGCCATACTCACACACCATCTGGTCAGTCCATGCTCCAGAGATGGACAACATCCCTGGTAAACCTTGTGTGCTGTCAGTGAGTCAGTTTTCTCTCTTGTCCTGCTCATTACACAACTGCCTGAAAATTGCATGGTGAATTCCCAGCTTTCTGGGCTGTGGAAATGGCAAAACCCCTCCCCATGTAAAACCCATTTGGCCAACAGAGTGTGTTTTTCTCTCTGAAGCATCCTGATATTTGAGTAGAGTGGTTTTGGCTGCTCTTAGTGACTCACAGGCCAGGGGTGTGGCTGGCTGCCAGTGTGAGATATTCTTCCCTTGATTCCTTCTGAAAGGAAGGGCATAAATCCTGAGTCCAGACTTCACTTATTCAAGTCATCAGCCACAGTCCCACGGAAATTACTCCATTACTGTGGATTTTATGACTCTCCCTGCCCCTCCCAATCTTCCAAAGCTTTTATAAATATCTGCAGCAACCTAGAAACAAATGTAAAACTGCCTTTGACAGTTTGGCAGGAAAGTGTATAATTTATATCGCATCATGACAGTGTCCTATTTTATGCCTGGTCCAGCACGGAACACTGCTGCCATATGTTGCTTAAACTATGGTTAAAATAGCTGGGTTTTCTGCTCACATTCCTACACTATTTTTGGCAGATGAGCCTTGTCTGATCCAGCACAGCTGGTTTTCCTCCTCTGCCCTCTCTTGCAGACAAAAAGCATCATGATGCTTTTTTGATGCTTATCTGTATTGCTGTGTTTTGATGGACAGCTGCTGAACTACAAGTATATCCACTACAAAATGATGCCTCAAGTTATTTATACAGAAAGATCCACGAAGACAAAGGAAGACACAAGGACTGGACTTCAAATGGATCCTCAGAAATACATTCCCACAACCTTTCCTCAGCTGACACCTACTTCCCTCTGCCTCCATGCAGGGTGCTGGGATGCAGCAGTGCAGCGGGTGCTGGGATGTGCAGGCAGGTCAGAGCCTTGGTGACAGCATCAGCTGCAGTAGCTGCTACCAGGCTTACCCAGATGCTCTGCTCAGCCTGCGGCCTCTGGCAAAACAGACAAACTGGACCACCTGCAGGGGCAGTTTGTAGGACACAGGCTCCTCGGGAATTTGACTAAGCAACCAAAAAGTAAATGTTTGAGACATATATTTATTTTACCCTGTACTTTTCCCAAGGGTGCTCTCTGCCTGAGCAGCTAATTATATCGCAGGCATTGCACTTTTTACCATTTTAATGCAGAAAGCATATGTTCAAACAGATGTTTGCCATGGAATCAAGAGGATCCCTGCTTCTCTACGGCCCCGCCAGTAAAATATGACAGGAACTATTTCCCAGCAAAGCCCTGTCCCGGGCTGAGCTGGCACATGAGTGGCTGGAAGTATGGAGCTTGGGCCATAAATAAAGGGACAGATGTGAAAATGGCACTGCAGCCTTGCCACCCTGCCAGCACACACCCCATCACACCCCTCCAGTGCAGCAACAGGCAAGGACAGAGGCAAGAGAGTTTCTCTCTCCTTTTGCTTTCAGATTAATGAAGCAAATATCAATCATAACAGCAGCATTTGCAGAGGCTGCTCCCAGTCATTTTACCTACCCATAACCTACATTTTATATCCCCCATCACACTGAACTGCAAGAGCTTCTACACAGGGTCAGTGGGCGCTGTTGGTAACTGAGGAGGTGCTGAGGCTGCCTGAGGCCACGTTCCCATTCCCAAACTTCTACAGAGTGAGCTGCCACCAGAGCTGAGTCCTGGCTGCAGAACAGCATCCTCAGAACCTGAATTTCTTCAGAGCAGCATTGTACACACAGACACACGCACACATATGTAAGTACAAATCATAGGGGGTGGGAGGAGGTTAACAAATATATACTATTATTATTATACATTATATATTATTATTAGACATATATGATTATATATGTCAATGTATGATATATGCACAATAAACAACACACCAGTTTATATAATATATAGGCATAATGCAGTAAGCTAAAAGAAAAGCCTTCCCATGAGAGAAAGGAATGAGTTTTCATTTTGAAATTTCCTCCTTTACACCATCTCAAATGTAACCCACAAGCGGGAAATGGAACTCTTCTCCCGGTGCTGGACTTTGGTGGGTGTGCAGGAGTCTGTCTAACATACCTCTATGACAAGAAGCTGTGAACTCCTCCCAGCACCAGGCAGACCTGTGCCTCCTCATCTCAGAAAAGAGACTCTGATCCCCTCATCCCTCCCCAGAGCACCACAGTGCCATTACCCCCATCCCCGCTGAACTTCTCCTTTCACAGACTATGCTACTGAATATCATTTTAAAGCAATCTGTAGGGAACAGCTACATGTCTGGGAAGGAATCAGGGTAAGGTGATTTGTTTTGCTTCAGCAGCCTACTCCTGCTCCCAGGGATACAGGACAAGCCATCAGCTTGCTTCTCAGATCCAGGAGCCTACTCCACGGAGCCAGGGAGAGGAGAGAGAGAAAAGCATCAATACAATCGACTGAGCAGCTAGCAACAACATTTAATTTGACATTCAGGAAAGGTATTATGCAGATGAAGCTGTTTTCTCTTCAGCTTTAAAACACAACTCTTTTAAAATATGATGTTTGCATTAAAACACAACTCTTTTAAAATATGATGTTTGCATTTTGGGAGGTGCATGCTCATTTACATTGAGGATCACTTATGCTGACCTACTTTGAGGCCCCTTAATTCTTAATGCTCAAAACTGAGCAGAGGTCCCTCAGTGTAAAGTGATAATTGAGGTCTGCAGAGTTCATACAACAACTCTGAAACATCACATTTTAACCCAGAGTTGGCAGAAGCCTGAAATGTCAATCCCGCCATCAGTGCTAGCAGCACAATTTGACAAACCTCCAGAAATCACCATAAAGTAGGAATTAACAAAAATTAAAAACCAGCCCTTCATACACTCAAGAAATAGTTTGAAAGGACAACAGAAGAACCCCTTTTTTCTTACCTTCAGTAGCCTTATTTACAGCTGTTAATGTGCTCAGGACCTTGGAGAACTGATCTCCAGTGTATAAATCATGTGGATCAAACACCTGTGAAAGATGAACTCAGTCAGTCGAGCCCAAAACATCTCACAGTGGGTGCTGGAGCCGCCCATGGTGCTGGAGGGTGACAGTGGTGATTGGGCAGCCCCCATGTCTCTGCAGGGAAAGGGTGATCATTCAGGGCTGACAAGTTCCATTTCCTTTACAGCCAGAGAATTCCTGGGGCACCACTGGCAGGCAGCATGGGAATAGCAGGGGAGCCCAGAAGCATTTGCAGCATAAGGCTCGGAACAGGGAAGGAATCAGTGCTGTCTGCAGAGCAGAGACTGCTCTGAAAATCACCAAGAAGGTTATTGCTGGCCTTGAGGGAAAAAAAGATTTTGTTCCTATTTTTGTTACCGAGAGCCGAAGAGATTGAGGCTGTACGTACAGATCTATGTATAAACACACACATTTTCCACAGCAGAAATTAACACACATGGAATTTTCTGCTATTGCAATATATAGTTTATTTACACTTTTTTACAGGAAGACAAACCCAGTTATCTTATATTAAAAAAATTCACCCTAAAGAATTTGGTGCTGCTAATCCTCAATGGTGAAACAGAAATACATGGTTAGCAAGGGCTTATTTTCCATGACTAAAAACCTGAACCTTGTACTCTTCTGAAATCACCACCAGAACAGTGAAGGCAGTTTGAGTTTCCAAAACACTTCAACCCCCTCAAACACCTGAAAAACACTCTCAACTTCATACAGACTGTACAAATCTTACCATTAATGAAGCAAAGATAAGAGTTACAAAAAGTCCCTCTTGGTACCACCATGGCACCATCTGCTAATCCCCAAATACATGATTTCTTGCAGATCGAGACCACAGATACATAAATCCAATGAACAGGAAAGATTATTTTAACGCTCTCCTGGCAGACACCATCTAATTACAAACACTTCCAACACACTAATGAGTGTATCTTGCTTAATAAGGACACAAGTCTGAATTACCTTTAGGCTAGGACTGCCCTTTAAAACAGCCCTTTCTTGCATTCCACACAGAGCTCCTTGAGTACGCTTGGCATATTTCAAATAGGAAGGGGACTGTCCTCTCTCACAGCCCTGGATGCTTGTGGCATCTCCTCCTCTTAAACAGACACACCAGAGCAGCACCAAAGTCCAACTCGGACAGTATGAAGGCTGCTCTTTATTAGGAATATGTTTGCAGACTGACTCAGCTACTCAATAATAGAAGACATGTTCTACCCTAAAGAAATTTAATCCATGGTTAGCATAGGGACAGTTTGCTGTCATTACAAATATTTAATCCTGTAGCTCCACAGCTCCGATCGCATTTATTGCTCTGCACATTCCAGGGACATACCCACCTACCTTGGGCTGTTTCTGAGCTGATCTATCACCTGCACTCACTCGGGTTTGCTCCTTTGGACCATGCAAGTCCCATGCCCTCTGCCAGCTGCAGCACGGAGCCAGTTTTCCTGCCCTGCAGTCACAGGCAGCACCATGCAAGCACAGCCTTCAGCCCTAAGCAGCGACGCTCCCATCTCCGTGGAAAGGGAGACGGTAACAGAGAGCCCAGCGCGCGCTGACCCCGTTGGCAGCTGCTGCAGAATGGGACAAGAGGAAAGTCAGCAGCCAGGCTGGGTTGTTTGCATGCATCTCTCTGGTGTGTCATTTTTTCATCCGTATCCTTTTTCTTCCACTTAAGTAATTCCAGAAAAATTAAGTCCTGCCTTGAATTAACACTTTTTTTTCCCCTAAGGAGCAAAATAGAAAAAATACATCCCAAATCCTTCAATGCAGAGAATAATGCTGTAAGCTCAGAGTCATCAGACTGACAAAGTCCAGATCAAAGTGGTAGGAAGAAAGATATGCAAAAAATTCTAGTCCAAAAGCAAGTAATAACATCTAGAACTTCTTCATGAGGAAATTTTCTGGAACAGCTACTGTGGAACAGTGGCTATGTGGGGTCAGCTACTGTAATGTAAATAAATATACTCTGTAGCTTGTTCCAGAATAAATTCCTCATACAAAAAAAGCCCTCATTTATGAACTAAAATTTACTTTTTCCAGCACAATTCATTGATAATTCCATTCATAGCTAAAAGACAAGCTGCAGCTAGAAGATAAATAGAGGCAGAAAAGGCTTTTTCACTTCTAACACATGGAAGATCAGGTGGATGTCACTAAAACCCCATTTAAATCTACACCTGTCATCTGAGGATCTCCATTAAAACGCTATTCTGACTTCAGAATCACAGGCTGCAGGTCTCCTCGGTAAAACACTCTGGCTGTTTCCGTCAAGCATCGCACCGGGCAAGAGCAGCTCTGCACTGCCGCACCGCCAGCCTCCGCCACAGGCAGCGAGGGGATGAGCAGGAGCCGGCGCTTCGCGACCGGAGCACCCGGCTCTTCGGGAAGGACGAGAACAGGAGACCAAACCCGGGCGCGGCTAGCAAGTTATCAGCCCCCAAAATCCCAGTCCCGCGACGGGAAGCACAGAAAAGTTAGGGAAAGCCGGGCTGCGTTTCAAGCCCGAGCTGTCCACAGTTGGACAGCCCCCAGCTGGGTGCCAAGCCCGAAGCCCGGCGCGGCCGCGACCCCTCCAAACCCGAGGCCAGGGGCGAGAGCCGCCTGTCCCCCAGCGATGCGGCGCTTCGGGCGCTCGCTGCCCCGGCTGCTCCCGCCGGACCCGCCTCTGCCTCCAGCGGGAGCGGCGGCGCGGCCGCAGCTCCGCCAGCATCGGCGAGACAGACCGGGCGGGCGGCGGGAGCTCGGCCGCCCCCGCGGAGCACAAGCGCCGCTCCGTCTCCGGGGGCTCTGCTCGGGCGCCGCGGTGCCCTCACCCCCTTCGGCGGGGACACCCGCGGGAGCTGGCGGAGACAGCCCTGCTGAGCGGCTGGGACACGCGCGGGGACCCCGGGCCACGGAGGCGCTCGGTACTCACGGCGGCGGGCGGGCGGGCGCGCAGCCCCGGGGCATGGCGGCAGCGCGAGCGGTGCTGCGGAGCGGCCGCTGCGGCTCTGACCCGGAGCCGGATCGCGGCGCGGAGAAGGGAAGAGAAGGGAAGGGGAAGTGACAGGCGGCGCCGCCGCCCCGCTCCGCCCCGCCGCTCGCTGCGGGACGCGGCGCGGCCGTGCGGCCGCAGCTCCCTCCGCCGGCCGCGGGCCGGAGGCACTGGGAAACACCCGGAGGAGCACGAACGGGATAGCAAAGCGCAAAGAGATGGGAAAGGGAAGAAGAGAAAGGCCGGAGGTGGGGGGGAGGGAGGAGGAAAGAAAGGGAAAGGGGAGGAGGAAAAGTAAATCAGGGAGGGGAAGGGGAAAGGGAGGAGGGAAAGGGAAAAAGTGAATTAGGGGAAAGGGACAGGGAAAGGAAAGGGAAGGGGAAAGGAAAAAATTGAAAGGACAGGAAAGGATAGAACAGAAAAGGAACACCCACACTATTGGAACAGTAATTGCAGCAGGTTTGCACCACTGTGAAGAGAAACACTGCAAGAGGGCCCATAGATGGGGCACAGTTCAGTTGAGGCAGTGAGACTGCCTGCATGCTCTACTGGCTCTGCCCATCTGTTTGGAGAACATTCTCCTACAGGGAACAAGAAAATCCTCAGATACTTCAGCACACCAGCAGGCTGCAGTGTGGACGGGGATGCAGCGCTGCACTGATATCCAGGGTGAAGCCCAGCTGTCCCAGCCCCATGCAGGGACATGCCACACACCTGGAGCCAGGGGTCTCTGGTACACTGGGTCACTCTAACTGCAGACGGACCTATTCTCCAGTGCTTGTGCTGGTTGGTGCTGGGCAGGAGCTCTTCTGAGCTCTTGTTATTTCCTAGCTGGATAGCATTTCCTGATGTTATCCAGCTAGGAGAGGTAATGTCACTTTGGAGTGAAGCCAAAGCAGAGCAGGTTTTGGGAGTGCATGGCTGGGGAGCTAAAAGGGTGATGATCTCTCACCTGCTCTCCCACACCTTCAATCCAGGTAGTTTGTCGGAGGTTGCAGGCACCTCCAATAGCACAAATAACCTCTGTGCTGCCCGTGATGGTAATTGTCCTCTGCATATTCTACGATTGTTCTGGACAGCCAGGTTAATCCAGCTATTGATTTATCTTGCATATACTGTTCTTAGTTCACAAAATACAGACCTTGTCAGAAGTTTTGTAGTTAATAACAATAAAATGCGGCTACTGAATAAAGGTCTTCTTCTTCTTCACTAGCAAATGGTGCTTAGCTATTGATCTACTGTTGTTATATGCACACTGGTGTCAACAGCAAAATCAGAGTTCCCATTTTTGTCCTCAAAAACAAGGTAGGCCAGGAGCCTTCCATGATTTTCCTCTATAGTCATGATCTCTTCCCTGTCTTTTCTACACTAGACTGCACCTCGCCATCAGGACAAAACTCTTTGTTGTCCACTTTCCAGCTCAACCCACCAGCATCCAGCTGGTGTTACCTTAGCAGCGCTCACTCACTGGACCAGCTCTTGAGTCAGAAACACAGCTCAGATGCTGAAGCCACAGTGTGAATGAAGCACATTTAGGATTTCTGCACTGTTCCTCCGTCCAAACCATGAAAGAATCCTCTAAGGACACCTAAGCTCCAGTGAAGTGTCCATGTTTTTTGACTAGTCCTTTGCCTCAGCAGAGCTGGGCTGACTGATATTCTTATAACCTGGATCAAATTCTAGCACTGAAAAGCTGCTGGAAAGTTTAGGACACAGTCTCATTATTTCACCTCATTAAAACTCTTGCCTGGTTAGAAGCATGGGGTGATTCCCCCACTTGCCATCTCTTTTAGGACTAACATACATGAAAGAGCAAAAGATTTCAGGCTTCAGTCCTGGGCTGAAGCTAAGGAACAGTTTTGTTATTTATACTCTGCCATGAGGTGGATTCTTCCAGCTCACACCTCCAGCCTGCAGAATGGCTTCATCTTAATGGAGCCAGCTCATAGCAGGAAGGTCAGTGTCCTTCTACCCCTATGTCCAAAGGTTTCACTGCACCTGTAAACAAGAGAAGTTGCTGTTTGCCTCACTGTGCCTTTCTTCCACTTCCTGACTTACCAGGACAACAAAGGGTAGGAGGAAAGTGCGTATGTGTAGTTCTGAAAGAGTAACCTCTATGCATTCCCTCCTGCTGGGAAAGACTGGCAAGAAGTGTCTGTTCAGTGGGAGGTGGGACTTGAGTTTCCACCAAAAGCTGCTGGAAACCCTGCCTTCCACACTGACCACTTTCCTGCATGCTGGCAATGTCCAGTGAAGTGGTGTATTACATGGCAGCTGCACAAACACCCATGACAAAAGCAAATGGAAGGCAGAGTACAATGAAGCCAAGGGATGCCACGATGGCATGCTAATGTCATGTTTAAGATTCCCCAGGGTGAGGCCCTTTTGTACAAGTCAGCATCCAGAAAAGAAGTTGTGAATTCTCATTTTCCTCAAAATACCCTCTTTTGTTCACATCTGCAACAGGAACAGAATATTTGACCTTAACATACCCTTGTCGGTCTCAAGACAGAGGTGGCTCAGGTCCAGCTCTAGGGTACATCACATCTAAGAAGCAAGAGTTCACTGTGGCATTTGGGGAAGGGCAGAATTTGAGAGAACCACTCTCTGGGGTTTGATTTTCATATCCATGGTCTGGGTAAGTAGCAGGATGGCTCTCACAGAATTAAAATGTACTAAGCCCAGACCTTTCGTGATGTTACTCTTTCCTCAGGGTATGTTGCTGAGGCAGAACAGAACCCTATTCTGTGCTCATCTTCCTTTTACCTAATACCTGATCACTGCAACTTAAATGCTGATAGATCTTAGAAGCAGAAGGTTCTCTGCCTGTTCTGATGCTCCAGACACGCTTCCAGAGTAAATGAGACAGAGTAAACCCCTTCCTAAAGGGCAATGGCCCTTTCCAAGGCAAACTGGGGGTCAGGCTTGAGGGAGGATCACTGGTAGGAATGTTGCTTAGAGTCTCCTTGTCAAGATGTTCCAAACAGAGCGGCTTTTAGAAAGAACAGATGGCAGAGGCTTTGCCTGAGAGGACTCAGAAAAGCTGGCAACATGGGAAAAGAGACGGAAGGAAGCATAAGCACTCCGCCTGTGCCATGTCTTGCCCACCATCTCAGCTGTCCTACCTTGAGCCTTCTTCTACACGAGGCTACAGAGGAACTAAGAAGAAGTAAAATTCATGTCTTGGTGTTATAAAATGACAATATTTTGGAAAAGAAAAAAAAAAAACCAAGAAGAAATTGTTGTCATTTCACTGCAAAATTTAAACTCGAGCTAGAGAGGCTCAAGTTTTTATCCAGCTTTTGAGGTCTCCTCTCACAGCAAACAAGAGAGACACACATGAGCATAAAGGAAGCTACGGAAGGCTCAGAATATTTCAAAGATGAAGTGGGTTATAAATCAGAAGGAAAAAAAAGCCAGAAATCTTAACTTTATTAAGGCCAAGGAAGAAAAGGCACATGGAGGATCAGAGGAACACCTAGAGATGGACACACCATGTTACCTGTTCTGAGTATCTGAAAATTGTGGAGTGTGACTGCAATATTGCAGAATGAGCTTCAAAGCTTTGAGATGGCATTGCACAACAGACGAGGACTGTTCTCCTGTCCTGCCTTTCAGCTGTTTAAGATTCCCATTTTTAAGAATACCTTCCATCACAACCATTTTATTATTAGTTTACAAATAGAAAACAAAACTCAGAAAAATGGAGGAAATCACATGGTCAGTACCAGAAGACTAGCAACAAGTGATTTCTGATGCAATAGGCCTTCAGGGATTATAAATCTCTCTCTCTATATATATATATAAATGTTCTTAAGACTGTGCTGCTGCAGCAGGCTCCAAGAAATGCATCACTGGGCAACAAAGGACCGGGGAGACAGTTCTGGAATGAGCACATTTTCATGCTGCTTAGCTAAAAAGCTCTAAAGAGTAGAAAGGCCCTTTTCTTGTTTAGACCTTCAAAGGAAAAAATGCAGAAACAGAGCTATTGTGGGTTGGACTTTTCTCACTGTGGTGCATGAATATTCTGTATAATGCCCAAGGATTCTGTCCCTGCTTTCTCATCTTCAGAAAATTTTTTTTCACAATCTTGAGCATATTTCAAACAAGATAGTTACAGGTTTTTGGTTTCTTTTTACTGTAGGAATTTAAGTGTAACACAAAAGTCTTTAGATAGTAACAAATTTGATGGCAAAATTAATTGAATTCTGAAGTGATTCATTTAGACTGATCTTGCAAATATGAGCTATGGTTAAGCATAAGAATCTACAGAGATAGGATCAGGAACAGCCACAAGAAAGGTATCTTTTGACTTCATTAGGTTGTTTTTGGGGTTTTTTTGTGTAAGGAACAATTTAATATGTTTTGCAGAATCTTACACAACAGTTGCAGGGGATGAAAAAATAGTGCAGTATTAAGAATACTTCACCTTCCCATTAAAGCAGGGCTAAAATGTGCAATTCCTTCTAATAATGAAAAAAAAAATTATGAACAGGTCTAGGTTAAGTCTTTTTAGACAGATCTGTTATTGCTACATGCTTTGTCTCAAAAGATGAGAATCTGTCAAGCTCACAGTTAATACACTGTTTCCAAATTACCCAGACTGAATATTGAATCATCCATGCTCTGATTTGTGTTATTAATACAAAAGATACCAACTTTTTCCCTCTGATATCTGGCTTCCTTTGAGAATGCTGATCAAACTGGCATGTTACAATAAAAGAAAGGATCTAAGTTGACTTACCTCCACTTTCAGAAGTGCGCAGCCTTTCAAGAACTCTTGAATATTACTGATGCAATCTGCTTCATTTTTAGGCTCCAGGCAAAACTAAAGAAAGAAAATCCACTGATCTCATTGCATTGCCTGTACTGAGAAGGCCTGCATGAATATTGACATGTGCCTTTTATACTGAATTAGGGAAGCTTCTTCAGGGGGCGGGTGGGGGTGGCAGGCAAGCTGTTGAAGCAGGAAGAAAGCCACTGGAGGAAGTGATGCACACACAGAAACTGTCGGCATCTTGTTTTGAATGCCAGCATATGACAGTGCCCTAACTGACAGTGGGAAATTGATGACCTTTAACAACATGCTGCCCCAAACCACCACAAGAAAAAGATAAGGAGCTAGCAAAACTGATTTCTGCATAATGAAAGGCTCCTTTTTTATGGGGTGGAGAACCCGTTGTGTAGTTGCTTTTTTAAAAGCTTCGCTTCTGTGTTGCCAGTTCCTATCTCTCATTGGACTCCTTCCCTTTTTTTTTCTCCTTCAGATTCTTACACACTTCTGGACTGTGAATACATGCCTTGTCAAACTGTAACAGGAGGCATTCACATGGTTTCAGTACCAATGGATTTGCTGGTCTTGGGACAGACCAAATGGCACAAATGCAAGGGTTATTTGCTTATTCCTGTTCCAATCTGCTTCTCCAGTGCATTTACTGACTAACAAAGCATTTTGCAGTAAGAGTTTTGAAAGACTGACTATATTTACAGTTGTAGTTAATTATATTGATGTAAATACTGACACACTGCAAATCCTTCTATTAAAAATCAAGCTATTCTGATCTCTGGTAGGCCAAGTATTTCCTGCCACTGACTGAACATGGGTAAGTGAATTAACAGCAACCTTGCAGGGTTTTTTTCTGGATGTAGAAACAAAATCAAGGAACCAAAGCTACAATCATACTTGGCTCTCAATTAGAAACTTAAATGTAAAACATCTCTCTCTGAAGCTCTGTGCTCCTCTCACCAGAGCAGCTAGGGCTCAGAATGCCCAGGGCAGGGTTTCATTGAGCAGGGCTGTCTCAACACAGCAAAATACATCAGAAAGCATTACCTTTTCTGCAGATCCCGGAAGAAGCCGATTAATGAGTTTGCAAAGCACAGTTCCATCTTTCAGAGAGGTTTTCAGGAACCCCTCTGGATCATCCACTATTTTCTTAGGGGAATTTAAGACTCCTAGTGAAATAAGCCACGTTACAATCTGTTCTTCTGGATTCATGGCGGAGAGCTCTGCCGCCAGAGCTGTTCTCCTGTACAACAGTGTACTGGAACCCACATCCGTGATTACATCTTCCTGCTGCAGCTCAAGTGTGAAACTACCTTTTTTTTTTGGCTTAGTACAGAAACTAAATCTTAGGAACTAAAAGAAGTTACTCTAAGGTACAAAACTGTTGTCAAAATAAAACCGTTTCTAATACTCAGCAGGAAAAACGGAAAACAGATTGTTAACTACATCTCTGCAAAATTATTGAAAATACAAGTATTTTATATCAATAGTTATTACACCAAAATATCTCACATAGGGACTTCCTCCTTGTGGCAGCTAGCACCCTATCACCTAGTAAATTTAGTCTGAACTTAAGGTTATTGCCCAAAGAAATAAATTTCTTAATACTGTTAAGAACAATAAATTTCCAGTGTTAAAACAGAATTTGTAATGGTGATGTTTTGAAGGAATGTAGGACTAAATAGAGATTTTCAACCTTATGTGGCAAACCTAGTTGTTAAAATTGCCTTTTGCAGTAATTTTCTATTGTCTCATTTTTGAAAATAAATTCTGATCATGCACTTTACGCATGAATAATGCCTCTCTTCAACTGCTGTGTAGAAGTCCACATATAATCCAAAACGGTTATTTAGGAGATGAGAATCTCTCAAAACAATTATCTGGATAACTTCAAAAAGGTCAGGAATTTAAGTCATCCAAAGCTGAGAAAAAAATTCCCCACTATTTTACTTGTCTTATTAAGATGTCCCTTTCTAGCACCACTGCAGGATCTACTGAAGGTAGCTTTCCACCCTGCCTGGGCAGTATTAACGATCATTACTTATCACAGCAAGTCAGAAAAATCCAGTCATCTTTATAACTGTCCTTTCAACAGAACAGATGGAAAATGAAGCAGTTCTGTTGATGATGAAGCTGGAACACCATGGCATGAAAAATCCAAGAACAAAGTATCCTAGAGACCAGAATTTCTTGGTTAGTGTTCTGAGCCAATTCCTACCCTTGTCACTTAAAACAGCTTTCAAGAACCCAGTGTTACCAAACTAATGATTTAAAGGGCTGGGGAAAATCAGAGCAGCAGAATGATAAAATTGTACACAGTAAATGGGCATGGTTTTGCCTGTACTTTGCAAGTTTTATGACTGGTACCGGGACCTACTGATAGACCAATTTTGAGAGCCACCAGTAAATAAAAACTGTCCCTTCAGGGTTAGACACAAATTCTGACCTTTTTCAGGACTCTGGGATGAGTTCCAGATCTCTGTAGTGTGGAAATATTCGTAACACATGGCTGCAGGCACTGTGAATAAAGTGGGTTACAGCTCAATCGCAGCTCACTGCACTTGGTGAGCAGTGTGCAAAAGACTTCAAAATTATGACTAATTGGCAATTCAGTTGTTTTGGGATTTTTTTTCCAGTTGTCATGAGCACTATTGCTTTGCAGAAGGAAATACATACATTATCCATAATTTCATAATTCTTTTTCCAAATCTGTAGTAGCCAAGATAACTACTAATGATCGATTTTATCAAAGGGGACATGCATTTGGATGTAGAAAACACCTCAGCCACCGCATCAGAACACAGCGGTTTCTGATGTAAATAGAAGTACTTCCAACACTGGGAGAATGACACATCTGCTTCATTGAAGTCAGTGTTACAAACCTGAACACTAAAGTACTTCACCCACTCCCTCCTCTAAAGGAAACCTTTGGTATAGATGGGCAGGTTTAGTTTTATGATTATTTCACATGCAGCTGCTACAGCCAAGAAGATATTAATGTCTGCAACTACAATTAAATGAAAATACTTCCCACATCTTGAACACTTACCAACAACTTGAAAAAATCTGCAGATATAGATATTCACAAAGTCCAAAAATGTATTGAGTTACTCATTAGCTACTTCAATCCCAACCTCACATCCTTTAGAGTGCTTTCTAAACACATTCCAGCTTGTTTACCAACTTACACACCAAAATTAATCCTGTGGCAAACCCAAGGTATGAAGGTAGAGCCACTAAGGAAAGAACAGTGTCTGGTCTGGTCTCTGGAAAGACTTCACCTTTGTCTATTTGCTGACAGCAACAAATCAAGTGAATCATCAATCATCTCTTGCAGAGTCAACTTAGTTTAAAATCTTATTTACAGCCTGATTTATACCACAGTGTTATTTTAAAAGGGGGTGAGTTTCCTTTACCCAACAACCAAGTGACTCTGGCAGCATACACATCAGAACAGCACAGCAACAGGAGCAAGGTAAGATGAGCAGTCACATATTCAGAAACCATTTTTGAGTGGTTCTTTTCAAGTCACACACGCTTAAGTAATTCACACTTTTTTTCTAGCAGAGGGAAAATACCACAAGGAACAGCACTGAAGTATTTGTCTGCTGCAGAATCTACTGATACATTTCAACTGGTGGCTTTCAATGAAAAGTTTGACTCTCTGCATGAGCTAATACTGTAGATCAGGATACATTCTCATTAAGTAGGATTTTAGGCAGGAAGTGATCATACAGTAGCTGCCATTTTGGCATTACACTTCAGGAGGAAGGATCCAGGTCAGCCTGAACAGCACCGCTCAACACTAAGCTAATGCTGAAAATAGTACACAATGTTACTCCTTCTTGCAGAAGGGATACTGAGATCACTGTGTAACAATAACCTCCCAAGATGTAACACTAGTGATCTCGACCACCATCCAAGTGTGTCCAAGAAGAATATGTTTTTCTTTTAAATTAGACAATAAAACCCCAAACCCATAATTCTTGTTAACAGTAAATTTATTTGCCCTGGGAAATACTGCAATTCTACCAATTTGCTACACAGATTTACTCCTAGAATCTGCAGCCCCTAACTGAGATTTGAAGTGATGTCCTCATCCCAAACATAAAGTTTTAAATCTCTAGACAAGGTATGCATGCTTTTTCTTCTTCAGTCACTCATAAGCTGAGGATTGTTTAAATTAGATCAGTTTATGTCTATCACAGAAGTCAGTATTATTTTATATTTTATTATCCATTATTGTTTATGAGTTTTCTACATGAAATACCAATGCCTGAGGATTCCTCTCACATACATTGGCCCATCAACATGTATGTAAGAGAAAAATGCATCAAAATCAAGACAAAGTTTTGAAGGAAGCACCAATATGTCCAGTGTACATCGAGGAACACTAATTATTCTGGCCATTCATCACTAGCATTGTCTCAGCACAGCAATACTCCCCTTCTCTTATCCAGAAGGTTGGGACAAAACTGTTAATGTAATATAGCAGAACTTTCCGTAGTTTCTTGGTGAAGTCCTCTGTATTCAAGTACACTAAGACTTACTTCTGTGTAACTTGCTCTTTTTACCAGCATAAATGGCAAGCACACGTGTAAAAGGCAACCAAAGTATTTTGCTGCTGTAGGATGCGTGTGCAACGAGCAATGAACCAGCTCACTCTGGACTGTCGGAAGGTGCAAGCTATGGCAGACAGCAGTTGGCTTCCACCATAAATTTTATGTACGTCCAAGATATTGGTAGTGCTACTTTCAAAGGCAACTCCAGAATGCTTACACATTCCTCTAGAAAATGGTGGGCAACACTACATTCAAAAGCCAGGCTGTATCAGTTGTGATTTGTTATCCTTTGATTCTCCAATGCACATCCACTGCTGCACTGCCGCCTTCACCTTTCACTGTAACTGGAAAAAGGAAATGCAAGTTAGTACCCTCTCAGAAGCCAACAGACAAAAACACTACATTATCTTTGAATTCATTTTATATATACAGTTAGTACATTTCGATTGCATTTGATCTGTTCCAACAGTATGAAAGTACATCCATAGCTAACTACAATAATCAAAATGCCCCAAGGACAACTTGTATGAATGCCTACTGCTTGTATAAGACTGTCTCCAGGGCAGGTACTAAGTACCTGGGAGAACTCCCCCTTCAAATTCCACCAGCTCTTGATAACCTCAGCATGCTACTCAGGAATTCTGTAATACACTGGTATACATACTGGTATTAATCTGTAAGTAATAATGTGCTATAAATAAAATCAAACTTGTAATCAAGGGAAGGTATACAGCTGGCAATTCTATTTGCACCCTGATTTTCCACAAGGCTATTATTACCTTCCTTGCCACAAGATCTATTTACTGCTCCCTTAACATTGGTACCATGCCTGCTAAGAATCTGGAAACATTCAGAAGCTGAAGACAAGGCTGATGGAGTGTGCTTTTGTCTCTAACACCAGTATTTATTACAACATGGTCACAACAGATTTACTAAGCTGAAAAAAATCACTTTTTTTTTTTTTTTACAAAGGGAAGCTTTTTCACTTTTCAAGAATAATTAAGCTTCAGCTTTCCAGCTAACAGAGGCAACTGAGGTGCATATATATGAAGTTTAAAACATTCTGACACAGCCAGTATGATGATTTGTCAGTATCTTTTAAAGGCTCTTAGAACACTGCATTAAAGACAGCATTTCATCTCTTCATTAGAGAATTTAAGACCTCCATCTGGGTCAAACTTTAAATTTAAAAACTGACTCCTTGTGGGTTTTTGCAGGTGGTTGAGGAAATGAAGGGGAAACTCTACTTTTAGACCTATTTCCCTAATCCACTTTAGTGGCACACTAGGGATATCAATGATTTTTGAATGAAAAAGGTTCAGTTTTCTTAACCTCTAGAAACACCTATTGTGAAGGGTCCTTTCAGTAAGACTCTAATTTAAATATTTCAACACCCACATCTTAAAAGGAACACAAAGAAAAGGACAGCATTTGCTGGTTGAAATTTTATCAAGCATCAGAAAAATAAAAAGCTAGTAGGGCAGTAGCTTCTGTTTTACTTAACTACATGCATCCCCTGAACAGAAAACACTCATGACGATTCTGTATTTTATCTGAAACACATTCCAGTACCCTGAAACAAAGCATATTTTTCCTTTATTATCAAGGTAAGGTCAGCAATTTATCAGGAGTATTTATAAAACATTATTAGCATCTTCTGACAAGGGCATTGCACATTTACTGACACTCTATAGGGAGCTCTGAATTGTAGCCCAACTGAGGCTACAAACATGCAGTATACAACAGAACCTATCCTTATCACAAGATAGAATCTCCCTGGTAACAGTGACCAGCTATCAGATAGACCAACTATACAAACTACAGCTTTTTTACCATTTTAAAGTTGGCTCTTGAAAGTAGAACCTAAGCAAAAAAGGTTCTTACATTTACAGACTCAATAAACAATTACATAAGGCAGTACACATGCCTCTTTACATAAATGCTTCTCTCGGAAAAGGTAGTTGTCCTTTTCCTTTAATCTGTACCAGATTTTGTCAAATTCTTCACACACTCTAAGTTACTTCCATTTTTTTACTAGCAATTATTTAGTAGAGAAATTTTATTTTCCAGAAAACTAGATTAACATGACAGCCACTACCACTTTTTTTCTTCTGAGTTTTCAGAGAAATAGGAGCAAATCACACTTTCACATAAAATTAAAAGACTGCTGCTCTTCAATCTTCTTGAAAAATTATTTTAATAGGGTAGGATTTAGAGCCAAGAAACACAGCTGTTCTACAGTCTCAAACCATTCTGGAGGCACCTGAAGTCTGCAGCTTAATCCCAAGACCTCTACAGAGATCAATTCCTAATCCAAGATTACACTCACTAAAATTGTTAATCCTGCACATTTAACAGGATTAAATTAAATGTCAATACTAACATTTATTATTACAACTCTGATTTTTAAGGTCTGCTCTTATAAAAACTCATGCTCAGCACTTTCTGCCACATCACTTTTCTTTAGCTGTACTCAAATTGGCCCTGTTTTTGCAGACAAGTAGTGTCTTGCTGCCATTTTTAAACTAGCTGGTTTATAAAGCCTTCTTAAACCTCCTCCTCCAAAACTTAAACAGAAGTCAAAACAACACTTAGCCATGACGAACATCCATTCAAACCTACAAACACAATGACAAGGGAACTTCCTTGCAGCTATTACACTGGTTTAATATTTACCTTATGTACTGGTACAGGCACCACTCGTATCTGCTGTCAACAGATGAACCAGCACTATTTCAGTGGTATCTTCTAGAAGTTATCCCCCTGCAACTAAGAGAAGATACAACAAATTGAGAAAAATGTTTTACAGCACAAGCTAACCTACAGTAATTGCCCTTATTTCAAAACACCGGCACAAGTTTTGTTTGCAGATTGTTCAGTTGCAAGTTTTTACTACTTCTTTAAATGGTGGAGGATTCACTCACTGGCTTTGAATGAACTGGAATGGCTTAGAGAAAGGTTGCGTGGCTTATGGATTCTCATTCCTTTTCAATGGTGCACTGCCATGTTAAATCCATAAGTTGAACGACAAAATTTACTGAGGACTAAACAGTAGTACAAAGGTTTTGGGTTTGTGGTTTGGTTTTTTAGTTGGAGGTCTTCATGTTTACTATATTCAAGTATCTTTTGAACTTCATGGCTTCACCCAACTTATAACAACTTGCCACAGACTCTGCCACATGCATCCCTGGGTATCCCTGCAATGCAGCGTCAAACTAAACAGAGTTAGGCATCCAACTAAACATCAAGTCTGCATTCCTTGCTTCCAACTCCCAATAGTTGAGCTGATATGTCTCAACCTAAACCAATTCCTCACTTCACAAGGTTTAAATTTTGTTAATATGCTGCATATGCAGCCTTTTTAAGCATCTTCTCTGAGAGATACTGGTCACAAAATACCCCCTCCCCACACTACATGGCAATACTGTGTATACAGTGAGCTGGATTACAGCTTTAGTTTCAAAACTGGTGCCATAAATGCTTTTATCCAAGGATTGTTGAATTTGGAGAATTTCTAATGTATTGGGGAATTTATTTTCTTTTTTTTCTTTAATCTATACAGCACTTCCATTGCCATTACATGCAGCTTGTCTTACTGTACTAGAAGTAAACTTGTTTCAATTTTGACTTAGACTGAAAAACTAGTTTGCTTTGCTTACCATCTTTGCTGTTTCACAGGCATTTGATGCTCTTAATCAGCTGTGGAATGCTGAAAGATTCACTTATTTTAGGAAGCCATAAGCCTTTCAGAAGTTGGAGAGAAAGACTTCTTTGCTTATCTTATTTTCTCCTTTGGAATCAAAGATGTTCCTTTAAAAGTGAAACACTACAGAGTTGCAAAAATTTGAAACAGTGTGAGTAAGCATCGATTTGCAGCTTCTTTGATGGAATTGGTCAATGGTTTGCAGATTGTTGTTTTTTTAACAGTATTTTGTAGCTGACTTACACGAACGTGATTTTTTTTGCAGGGGAGATCTTTTTAAACTCCCCATGAAAGAGTAGGAAGGCAGAATATAGTATTATCCACTTGCTTTTCTGGCTTAAGTGAATGAAATCCTCTATTTCTCTTTACACAAGGATCTGAAGGCATTTTGTACTGGGAATACTGTGACTTCAAATTCTAGGCATAACTGAGCTTTATGTGGAATCATCCCCACCACCCTCCAAATCACAAGCAATACTTTCAGAATGAGATGCTGAACATGTAGAGCAATCCATCTCCATGTTAGATGGTTGGATGTTGTGCGGAAGATCTTAAGAACAGCTTGTTCCATTCATGACGAAAATCAGATGGAAGTGTGGCATTTCAGGGAAACTTTACTTTGAAAATTACAACACTAGTACACAGCTCAAGCTTATACATTTAACATCTGCTTTCTGAAAGAAATGTTAACAATTTTGAAATGATATTAAACATTGTTTCAACTTTTCTCACAAAAGCATAAAAGTCATGGAGGGAAAAACTTAACAGGCAACAATAAAAAAAGGTTAAAAACAACTTTTCTTTTTAGTAGTCCTCTGGTAGTAAAGATAGAACAGCTTCCACATTTGAGAAATAATGTGTCTTGGTCCAAAAGTTTAAGAGTGTTTTTAGTATCTGCTTCTGCCTCCACCTCTATCGGATCTGCTTCCACCACGGCCACCACCTCTGGGCGCCCCACGGCTTGAACTACTGTAAGAATCCCGAGGAGGTGGATAGCCCCTTTCCATGGATGGGGGAAGACCCCTGTCTTGTCTTCCCACACGATCACGGCCACTTGAGTAGACATCACTTCTGCTGCTTGAGTAACTTTCTCTGCTTCCATATCCATCTCGTGTGCTGCCGTAATCATCATAGCGACTGCTTCCACCATATGATGGCGGGGGCCCTCGAGCAGGTGGAGCACTACGTGAGTTACCTGCAGGGTCAACGGTCAGGTAATATGGCAACACCGTAAGTTATATAGAACAATTTCAAATCTGAATTTACAGAATTGATGTATTAAAATGTTTACTGCTACTCTTTTTATATGTATTGAAGATGGTCTTAATATAATCTGCCACACTAATGGTATTTTAAGTGGGGATTGCATATCAGGCACTGAGTGGATTTAGAGATTTTGAAGGAATGAAGACGGTGTTTGTTTATTCAGGCAGGCTCTTTAACTGGATATTCCAGTACAGCTTGTTATTTTAGAGAAGAAATTCAGCCATATTTTCCAGAGACAGCTGTCATTCTGAACTGTAGACTTTGCTTCTTTAGCTTACAGCTTATTAAAAAGACGATCAAATGATAACCAACAACTGCACTTTCACTGTAGGGGAAAAAAATTATGCCACTTCCCCCTAAAACACAAGCAACCTAGTCAAAGTCAGATGTTATGACATCTGTACGTTTATATGATCCTCAAAATGGATTCTTACCGTAACTCTCATATGAATCTCTGTAGGAGCCTCCACTTGGATGATCCGAGTAGTCTCTGTCACGCCCACCACCGTATCCATCACGATCGCTATAGGAGGAAAGACTACTAAGACTTAGTACAAATCACTAACATTACAGCAAAAATAAAGTGACAGGGAGAAAACTCCAACAGTAGGTACCTATATCCCCTGGAGGGGTATTCATCACGTGAGCTGGAATGACCATAATCACGATATGCGTAGTCTCGTGGAGGTGGTGCGTAGTCCCGGGTATCCCTGGAACTGGGATAATCTCTGCTTGAATAACTACAAAGAACAAAAACTGAGATGTTAGCCCCATGTTCTACCACAGAAGGTCTGGAATCAAGTTCCTTCTCCAAACAAAAACCAGTTCACTAAAATAAAACAGTAGAAAAATTTACCCGTCTTTAGTGCTGTAGCCATCATCCCTTGGAGACATGTAGACATCTCTCCGTGATGGCATTGGCTCTCTGCGTGGAGGACCACCGTAACCATCTCTTCCACGTGACACAGGAGCTTCAAAGTAACAGTCCGTTTAATTAGCATTTAGCCATGCAGAACATTCAAGGCAAATGCTAACAAATAGCTTCAAGCCATTTAATAATATCTCCAGAGCCTACATTTAGAACACTTTACATTTCTGCTTGTACAATTTTAAAGCGGCACTAGACAAAACATATTCAAAATGCACCAAATTGTTCCCAACAGCTACAAAATTATACTGGTCTGAAAGGAACCAAAGGTTAGAGGAACAGTACATCATCCCACAGCAGACTGAAGTCCAAATCAATGATCTGCACCAGTTCCTAAGGCAAGACTAAGGTTCTAGAGCTGACCAAGCAATTAATTTAGTCAGGAAGTCCTCACCTCTTCCTCCCATGCTACTGCTACGCACTGGTCCTGAAGGTGCAGATCTTTTAGGTGGAGGGCCTCCACTTCGTGGAGGTGGACCCCTCTTCATGGGGAGTGGCCCTCGAGAAGACCCTAGAAGGAGAAGCCACAAACCAATTATTATTTCTGTGATACTCACCTGCATTTTCTTAAAGCCTGAACTACGACAACCTAAAGGTGCCATTATTACCACTACATGATCAACAGTAAACCTCTAAAACTAGTCCTCTCCTGTCTAAACCTCTAAAACTAGACCTTCTCCTGTTTTCTAGCCACTTTAAATGCTACTGGCAGAATTGAGAGCCAAACTTCCCACAGCCTAAATTCCTGTCAAGAACTGTCTTTTAGAACTTATCCAAAAGCTACAGGGTGTGACACAAAGGAAAAAGACAGCTGATACCTGTAATCAGTCACAGCTTAAATGCTGAATAAGTTACTGTTCTCAGAAGAGCTACTTGGGGGGGATGTACTAGAGAAGAGCCTACAGAGAGGGAACAGAGGCACTACTACCAAGTTTGCAGAACCTAATGTACAGACTCTTCAAGACAGAAGTTTCACTATTTCCAGGGTTTTTTTCCTGTCTTACAGCTTTTACTGTTACACCTCAGGTACTGTTTGCTACTTAAGTGAGTTTTGTTTTGATACTGAAAAGTCTGAATAAATAGCTGTATCTTAATGAATATCCAGTATCAAGTAATGTACTTTAGAATGCTTCAACTTAACAAAAAAGGTTTAGCTGCCCTCTCACTGATCTGGAAGGATCAGCCCTACAATTTTCTCAGTTTAGACCTCTTGCTATAAAGAATGAAAGGCAGTTCCCTTTCCCTGGTGGTAGCGAATCACTTTTTCAACTTGAATACCAGAAAGCTTCCTTTCTCACGTGCAAGGCAGGAGTTCTGCTTTTCTTTCATAGGCAAAAGTCAAGTGGAGTGTTAGTTGTAGAAAGGAATCTTCACATCTGAAAGCCTTTTCTTAAGGTGTACTTGCCTAATCAAAACTTTGACTAAACTGCCGAGATCGTATTTCATCATTTTAATAAAGAACAAGGAGTGCACTATTCAGGTGTTTGACTTTTTTTTTTTTTTTCCAGTAGGATTATTGTCATCTTCCAATGGGATTGGTCTTGTGTTGTCGAAGTGTATAATGAGAGAGGTCAATACATACCCAAGTGACTCCCTCTTGAAGGTGGTCCTCTCGCGCCACTTCCGCCTCTTGCGCCTCTAAGGCCCCTGGGAGGACCTCTGCTTCGGGGAGGGGGTGGTGGCCCACGCCTACCACCACTTTCAAAGGATGGCTTGGTTGCTTGTTCCACTTTAATTGCCTTCCCATCTAATGACTAAAGAAGAAGCTGCTTTACTTACTGCTCAGTCATGTTTGTATTTCTTAAATCAAGCCCCTCTTGCTTCACTATTTATAGGGCTTCCATTTTATAAGTTAGAGCAATTCTAGAACTGATTTCAGTCTTCAGTATTAGTCCCCAAGTACTCAGCAGCATGTTGGGCCTAATTTCAATTTCTACAGTACTTCATTCTTGTGGTATTGATGGCAAAAAACCCACAGAGCAGCATCAGAAAGGCCTTTCAGTGAAAACACAAGTGTCCAATGATTACAGCAGCCCCACGTCATTTATTCTGTAAATGAAACATGATATATGATCTACAATTTACTTTCAATTGCCATGTACTTTTGTACCAAACTAGGAGTGCACCTGTAGTTAAAAGATTAAGCTGAAGGTAACTTAGCTTCAGTCGGAATTTCTGGCAATGGGGAGGCCGTTTAGCACATTTTCTTGACGTCCTGATAAAACGGTGATCACTGAAGTATTTAGAAGCAATTTCAGCATCTACACAGCAGACTGAGTAAGCCAATTCACCTCTTTTTTCTAGTGTTTCAAGCTGGGTTTTCAATCAAGGTGACTGTCACAATTTACTCTATTACTTGCTTTTCCACAGGGAAGGTGCTTTGTGGTTGGGGTATTTTTGTTTGTGGGTTCTGTTGCGTGGTTGTATTTTTTTTTTTTTTGTGGTATGAAAGAAGTAGAAGCTTTTGCTGGAATACAGATTTGCAATACCAGGAACTCTGCAGCCAATATACCTCAAACGTGAGCAGGTACAAACAAGCTGAGTAATACAACCTAGTTAATCAAATTTCTGGATGATCTTTAAATGCCACATGTTTGGCTATTATAGCACAATCAAGACCACAAGGCCTGCTAAAATTAGGTTATTCCATGCCTATCCTGGCAAACATGGTTTTTTTGCCTTTTTTAGCAGTTAAATATTTTAACTCTGCCACGACAACTTATTAATTATCAGGCAGAAAGCGTTGTTCATTGCACTTCTTTGCTGCAACAAATGAACGAATTAAACGGCTAAACTGCTAGTAATGTCTTTATCTACACTGCTAATAGTATTTTATAGAAGCACTGAATATTTTTTGTTCTCTGTCAAAATTTAGCTCTCTGAAAATTCACTGTAATGGTGGATGTATTTTGCCAGCTAGAGTTGTAGTGATTGTTTGAAAACCTGAGTGTACATACACAGGTTCAACTTGATCCACTGTGAGGAAAAAAAAGTAAGAAATACCAGCAAAATCATATTGGTCTTGGCTTTGACTTAGTGCAATATTTTACTTATGGAAGGTTTCTCAAAAAGCCTTTTGGCATGACAAACTGAAATATCCACTCTAATGACTGGAACTTCTCAGTTTGCATCATATGATTTGCCATTGCAATTAATCTCTAAGTTTCATCCTTCTCAAGCATGAACAGAGAGCCTGAAGCCTTAAGCTTTGCTATGGCCACTGCTGTCCTTCATTTCATGGATAGTCTTGACAGCTTGTTTTAAGTTTAGAAAGCAAACACTGTCCCCTTCTGCAAGCATGGGTTTTGAAAACCTGAATGCTAGGTTTAAATTCTTTCATTTCTGTTAGGTAGGAGGCACAGTTTTCCTTGTAATTTCTCCTCCTATTTTCTTCTGCCTTGCACTTAAGCATCTTACCTTGGCAAAAGATTTTCTTTGCACACTGCTTTACAGAAATAGTCTTAAAAAGCTATTCCATAGGTCCAGAAAGACCTTTCACTAGATACAAGAATGTATTTTTTGCTAACCAGAATATATTTGTTGAAGTTAGTCCTATTTCAAAGCAGAGGGGACATTTTATGGTTTCTTAGCTCAAAGAAAGGTCTTACCTCACCAAACATAAAAGTCACACAACCCATCTCAAAATAAGGAAGTTTTTTCAATGAGCTCAAAGCACAAGCTGTCAACATGAACACTCAGTAGCTTATTTTTATAACCTTGATTTTGAGTGTTATAGAAGCATTTTTAATACGATATGAGCACCAGAAAGTAAAGTCACTGTGGTGCTAAAAAGCATGGAAATAATTTAAGCTACAAGTAATTTAGGACGGTAATAGTTTGGCAATCAAAGTCTCCTATGTGTGAAATGAATAATCGGTACATATTTGTAAAGTGAGACAGGGAATTTCAACCAAACACAATTAGAGAACTATCCTGCAAACTGTTCCACATTTCAACAGAAAAGATTAATGAAATTTGCTTAATTTTGGGAGTGGGGCAAGAAATCAAGTATTTCAAAGAAACTGTTACAATAACTCGAATGAAGCTGGTCCTAGCACCGCACAGGGCTTTCCTCTTCAATGGATCACTTCGCTGCTGATGCTGCAATGACTCCATTTCTCCATGTTCCTTGATGGCACATTAAGTGAGTTTCATTTTGCCATATATATCCAAGAAATGAAGATCCATTTCTCAAGAGGCCAAGCTTCTGTACATTGCATCACTTCTTCCCAAAAGAACAGGAAACACTTTCTGTCAATTAGACAATCTTCTATAGTGCTGAGTACAGTTCACGCTGGAGGGATTGTAGCATCTGCTTCCGTCCGCTTAACACAGACCAGCTGGCTTGGCAGGTCTACACTGGAATAAAATCTTTGGTTTGTCCTGACCCTTTGCCTAAGGTCATATCCTCTCTTTAATTATCCGTTTCATCTTAAAGACGCAGAATCAGAATGTCATGAGAACAGCCCACAGCACCAAACAACCATTACAGACTGGAAAGTATCCACATTTATGTCCAGGTAAGCATGTTCATTTTGTGGCATCAGGATGGAGACTTGACAGCCATGAATTAAGATTCTTCTTAAGGCTAGTAAGCTGCTATTAAGTACTTCTACATTTCTTTTGCACTGCTCAGACATCATAGCATTGATTGAATTTAGAAGACAAAGTAACTGTAGTGAGAAATCTCCATCCCAACTCTAAAATAATTATCTTGTGATCTGTTTCTGCAGGACAAACTGATCTTCAACGCTTCGACTAGTCTATGCTTGCCTCAGTATAGTGAAATATAGCTGTTCACATAACTACCCCTCACCCAAACTGGTGCAAAACTCTGCATATATTTTCATAAACATGTGCAAAATAAAAATCAAATGCAAATTCATTCTTGCAGAATCTCTTGGAGTCAGCCTCTTCTACTGGCTACAACTTCAAATTCCTTTGGGATGACAGAATGAGCAACAGACAGGCAAAGCAGAACTCTTCCCCCAGCCAGACAGATCACCTAACTCCTTACAGACTGCTTGAACTGCAGTCTGCACAGTGCTTCCGCTGCTGCTTCTCAGCAGAATTAGAATCTCAAGAATGCTCCAACCCATCTTTTCCAAATGGACAAAGAGACCTTCAAATTGTGATTTATGACAACTGCCTCTTCTCACACCAGGCTTTAAACACTGCTCTTCCCTCAGACCTTGAATGCAGAGTCTTTTTGGAATACAAGCAGTACCTGTTGTCCAGAAGGCTTCCTGAAGATGAGAAGGAGAGACCACTGCATGAATATCTTTCATATCCATGGTCAAAGCAAGTTGGAGTAGAAGACATTCTAGAGCAAATCCCATCTGAGAATGTTCTTTTCATATACTATTTGCTGTTCAAAGCAGATGAAGGTACTTCTAGATTTATAGTGAAGACAAACCCACGAGAACAAGGATCCACAAGGCCATCCTTTCTAGCATTTCTTGCCAAAAATGCAGGCTGTGCATTCCAGAACAAGTAGACATAACCTCAGCCACACACATTGTCTCATTTAGCTACTTTACCAAGCAGTATTGTCCCAAATATTTCCAAAGTGACCAAACACGGGCCTCAACATTCAAGATGTAGAACAGTTGGTGATTATTTTCAGAGGGATTTTGATTTGCAAGCTGCACTCCACAAACACACAGATTAGTGACTGAATTCCTTTCAGTCTGACAACTGCCTATGGGTCCTTGAAATTACCTTATGTGAGGATTCAATGACCATTTCAGGGAAAATAAATTATTTAAGCACGGCAGTAAACAAGTCTTCAGAACTGTGGCAAACTAGACAGTGGAGAAATAAAATTCAATAAAAGGAGCACCCTGACAGATGTTTAGGCTGGTATAGAAAGAACGTCATCTGAATTTGCCACTCTCTGCCTTGACAAAACTACTAGTTTGCTTAAAAGGCAAGGAAGTCTTCTAAGAGAATAACCCTAATTGTGATAAGATTGTCATAAAGCAGCCAGAAACATCAGTCCATGGAGAAGAAAACCCACTATCCTTCTGCAACACATACCCTGCTATAACACAAATAACAAGAGGTTTTACAAACCTCTTGTGTTTATGAACACTACACAAAGCTCACTTTCTTATTCCTAAAGTTGTTTTACTTACTGACTGCAACAACTGGTATTTTTCTTTCACTTCAACTTCTTAAACAAGACAAACATACCAAAATCCCAAGTGTCAATTAATCACAATCACTCAATGTTTCTTCACTTTACTTGAATGGCATCTCTAGAGACACTGCTTACAATGCCAGTGCAGTGTGACCTAAACACAATCATTCACAGAATGCAGGGAAAACCAGAGTCTGCAATTCAAGAGACCTAAGATGGCTTTCCCTGCCTGAAGAGACAGCACCTTTATAAAGATAAGCAGTTGTTTACCAAAAAATTGCCAACTTACATCTACCTTTTCAAGCACGTGCCACAACAGATAGAGATTACAGCAGCCTACAATTCTCTGACAAACTATCCTGGTATTATCTTTTAACCTGTGCTGCAAACGCCTATATTTTTATTTTTAAAGACAATACATATCTTATTGCTCCTAAAGCTACACCCTTGTGTTTTAGGGCGTAAATGAACAAATTCGGTTGCTGGCTAACTGCAAAGCCATTGCACATAAACTAGAAAGATGCCCCTCACACAGACCAAGCAGATCAATGATGCAAGGCCCAAATGCAGGAGATTATACTCAGAATACCAGATAGCTCATCAATGCTCCAGCACTCAAGGGAAATCACAGTTACCCATGTTAAAGGAACAATTACTAATTTTCAGGTAAGTCACTTCCCTGAAGTGTAATTTACACAGTACTGCAATCAAATATGATCAAAAAGGAAAATTAACCCCAAAATCATTATTGAAACATGCAAGAATGAAGAGCTGATTCCTCCATCACCGATTAAGGAACAATAAGAAAAGAGAGCATAGCTGACTGCTAGCCAGACTTCCATTTTCTATTAGCAAATCCATGAACAGGAGAAACAAGGAGACAGAGACATTTTGTTGAATTTAAAGTCACAACTTGTCTCCACGATCTTCTAATCCATGCTCTTTCCAACTTTTATTACCAGTTGATTTACCCCAAAGATTAATTGTCCTGGTCAGTAGCAACGGCAACACATAAATGGTCTTAATTCCTACCTTTCCATTCATATCTCTGGCAGCATCTTTTGCATCTGCTGGACTCTCAAACGTGACGAATGCAAATCCTCTGGACTTGTTAGTTTCCCGATCTTTCATCAAAAGGACTGCAGAAACAAAGTCACATCAGCCTTCCCTGTAATTCCCAGTAAGGAACACTTAACCTTTATTTAACCTTTTAAGCTCAGAACTTCTTAGAGGACATGTAAGCACCATCATTTCAGATGATCAATGCCAAAAAGTCATCACAGCTATGCTGTTGTTTGTTTTATACTATTGCTATCTTAAGAAAAGTTCTCTTTACCTTCCACAATGCGTCCATATTTGCCGAATACAGCCTCAAGGGCTTTTTCATTAGTCTCTGTGTTCAGGCCCCCAATGAACAGCTTCCCAGGACGATCTGCTTCAACCATTTTGATTCTGTGAATGACCTACTAAAAAGAATGAGGCCATTATTAACAAAATATCAGACTGCAATAGTGACTTCATGGTATATAAATTACTTCTGTCCTCAAACGTACAAGCAAATTTTCTTTAGAAAGGTATTAGGTAAGAAATATGAGGTATAAAAAAAAAAAAATCAAGTAATTACAATTACAGTGGAAGCAACTCGAAGTAGTATTAACAGTTACTTCTTCACGTTATATAATGTATTTAAAAGATATTAAATAGAAATTTGAATAGTGGAACAAGGCACTGTTAAAATGAAGCAATATTGGTGAATGCGAAAACTCTTCCAGAAGTGCTGTTCCTTTTGTCCTGGACGTTTTAAGTAATTTGCTTACTATGTCAACGTAATACAAAATTGTTAACTCTTCAGAGTATCTTAGGTCATTGTTTTTACATTAAGTTCATTCTTTGTATTATTTAAAGTACATGGAGCCTATGCTTAAGTCCTGGCCTACACAACATGAGAGGCTGAACTGACACCAGACCACCACTGCAGTTCTACACAGCAATGCCACTGCTACAGTCGCGGGGGCGGGAGGGCTTAAAAAGAAAAAAGCCCAAGAGCCGAAGACAAAGCCAAACCCCCCGTGCCTGGCAGGCCGCCCGGCGCCTGCGGACAAGCGCTGCCCGCGTGTCTCCAGCGCGATGGCGGGAAGGCCCGCGCCAGCTTCGGCACTCGCGGGAGCGCGAACAAAGCACCCCCGAGGGAGCCGCGGCGGGGCCGAGCCGGGCCGCACGGGGCGAGGGTTCAGCCGCGCTCCGGGCACGGTGAGCACGGGGGGCGTCGGACCCTCCGCGGGCTCAGGCACCGCCACAAAATGGCGGCCACCTCTGGCAGCGGCTCCGCTCCGGCCCCGCGCCGGCGGCCTCCTCGGCACTCACCCACCGCGCGACTCAAGCCCGTCCGCACACATCGCCGCGGCGCGCCCGCCATGCCCCCGTCGCCCTCCCCCGGGATGCTCAAGAACCCCCGCACATAAAATGGCGGACACCGCGCCTCACACCGCCAGGACCCTCCTCGCCCCACCGCAACGGCGGGGGTCCCGCCGTCTTAACCGGAGCCGGGCAAGGAGGGACTGCGGGCCGGGCCCGGCTCCGCCGTGCCTCTGCTCCGCCGCGAGCGGCGCGCCACGCGGCCCGCGCCCCACGGACCTTTCGCCCCGGGTCTCCGCAGCGTCCTGCGGTGCCGCCCGCAGAGCCCTAGCCCGCAGCAGCGCTCACCTCAGCCCGCGCCGATCTGCAACTGCGCAATGGGGGCGAACAAAGGCGCTGCGGGCCTTTATAGCTTTACGTCACCTGCCGGACGGAGCCCCGGATGCGGCGGCATCGGCAGCGCCGAGCCCGGTAGGGGGCTCCCGAGACCCCCCGGGGCCGGTGCGAGGCTCCCGTCGCGGCCGAGGGACAACGGGGCCCGGATGGGACGGGGCTACAGGGGCGAGGAGTCCCGTCCTGCCAGGAGCGGGGAGCGGGCCGCGGGCCTCGAGCGGCGGGAAAACAGCGGGAGTGCGCCGTGCGAAAGGAGGGGTAGAGCTTTGTTTGCCGGCTGTGCCTCGTCCCGAAGGATTGAGGCCCCATGTGTAATGCTGTGTCGTTCTGGACTCCTCAGCACGACAAAGGAGCTACTGGAGATAGTAATCATTACAATAATGAGTAGATGTCTGGAGCGTCCCTCTTAAGAGGAGAGACATGGAAGCTGGGGCTGTTCAAGAATGAGAGGGGATCTCACTAATGCACATAAAAATCCCAAAGCCAGATGCCATGGGATGGGGATGGTGCCAGAGTCTTTTCAGAGGTGCTTAGTGACAGGAGCAATGGTCATAAACTAAAATACTAGAAGTTCCAGCTCAACATGAGAAAGAACTTTGCCTTGAGGGTAGCACAACCCTGGAACAGCTGCCCAGTGAGGTCATGGAGTCTCCCTCTCTTGAGACATTCCTGTGTCACCTGCTCCAGGTGACCCTGCCTTGTCAGGGGGATTGGACTGGATGATCTCCCAGAGGTCCCTTCCAATGCTAACTGATTTTGTGAAGCAGCAGATCTATCACTTCTTTGGAAGGAAAATCACAGTAGTATCAGTTAAACTTTGGAGTTTACAGGAGCTTAACCCAGTTTGCTAAAGCAGCCTTAAAGGCATTTTTAATTAGTTTGATTAATAGATGTGTATGGCAGCACCTCTTCCTTGGAGAATAACAGCAAACCAAAACAAGTGTGATTTAAAATTAAACGTGTTGATGGCACAAAATTTTGCCATTTTTGTTCAACTAACTCAAGTTGTTAATTATTTGTACTCAAAGTTCAACTGCGATTTTCTTTGTCTGGCTAAACCTGATAGTGGAAAAGTTAGGAAATCTGCTCATGCACAAATTGGCTAAACTTTCATTATTTGAACCTGAAGATTATCTAAATTTATATTAATCAGTTATCAAGGCCTATTTTCTTAGTGCCACCCAGTCTAACCACCATACAGTCTTTTAAGTTCTACCTTGCAGTTCTTGCTAGCAGCTCTCCAGACCTTCATTCCTGGGAGATGCCACAGAGTCTATGGACTCCAAGGGCACTGCCCAGTGCTGTTATAGTTACGCAGCTGCATAATTGCTACATTCTGATAAGAGAACATCAGACTCTCCTTATCTTCAGTTTTTCAGTCTGTCAGATACTGATATTCAGCTGCTGTTTGTGCTATGGGAAGCAGAAGGCAATGTTGCCTCAGAGAAGCTCATAGATGTGTTAAGAACACAAAAGAGGGGAGCTCTCAAACACTACTGTAAACTCCAGTATGTACTTGAAGATGTCACCTTACCAGTGTGGATGCTCAGAGTTTCTGGATGCTGTTACTGTGAAGGGGAAAAGGGAAAGATGACCTTTATAAGTAGGTGGAACAGCACTGCTTGTGATATCAATCCAGTTGCCAAAGAATGGCATTACCAGATACTCATCCAATTATCATATGAAGAAAAGCTTCAAATTCTAGTTTCAATACAAAACAATTTAAAGTTAGGAGCCTCCCTGGGATGGATAGTGAAAACTAAAGCAAATTGTTAGTCCTGTAAGAAATATGCTAAAAATGGCCTCCATCAAGGTGGGGGTCTCTGTGCTTCTCTGACCTATGGTGTATTTACTGACTGCCACACAACTGGAAAAATAAGCAAATGCAAACAAAAGCCTCTTTTTCTGTCACCTCTGATTTAAAGACTAAAATATTTAATTGATGACTCCAGGCTTCATTTTAGTAACATTTTGTTAACACGTACTGAACATGTGGTTAGGTGGGATTTGCATGAACATAATGACATTTGAAACAGCAATTGAACATAAATGCTGTAATTGTATCAGGGCCACCCATTGTTCTAAAAATTCTTCTGACCATTGTTCTAAAAGGAATCTTCATGAGGCTTCTTATCAGAACTCAGTTGCATCTTCATTGCAAACTGGAATGGTATTTTACAGTCTCTCACTACATAGTGTATGTATGGTCTTGCTCCAAATTCAGTCAGATCTTTTCCTAGAGGATTAAAGGGTATATAATTCTTTGTCACTCTCTTGAATAAATCTCTGCATGTTTAACAGTGTTGTTGAATTTACACTGCAAACTTGTTCATGCAAGTACTATGTACCGTGCTCCATATTTTCATCAAACATATTGGCCTTTTACCAAGTTCATCATGCTTTGGTTTTAAACTGGATAAAAAGTTTAGGAGAGCTGAGGGATGGGGACTAATGAATGCATAAATAATCTGAATCCAAAAGATTAATTCAGAATTAATAAAAAAGGGAATGTTATTCTCTCTAGATATGCAATCAAAAACTAACAACTGAAAAATGAGCATAATAATTTTATAACAAGGAGCAATTTTCTAGGCACTGTCAGTTGATGGGTGTTTATAGAAATTCAGGAATTTTCCTCTGTAAAACTCAGACTAGAGCAGATGAGAACAGCACAAAATAACTGTTTCTGGCATGGACTTTGTCAGCCATTTCTAAACTGGAACTCCTTAATGTGCTTCTCCCAAATCACCTATTTGGGATCTCAATTTGGCTCCATTCAGTTGAGCCATACAAGGTGGATCATAGGTCCCTAAGACATAGCTGGACCTGCCTGAAATGACAACTCTAATTTCCAGGCTCAGCTGAAAAAACATGAGAATTCTTGTGCTCCCCCTTATTCTTTTTCCTTTTGCCTGTTGCAGTTCTATGGTAAGGGCAATTCACTACATATTGATGAACTGGTTAAAATTAACGGAGGTGGATGTTTTGCAGGGCAATACAAATGTAGTATCACTGTCCAGAAATGTGAGTGGCAACAACAGCTTTGCCAAAACGGAAAATACAGAGAGATCGAGGTGTTTGCTACTCAGTGATACTTTCTGTATCATTGACAGGAATGCCTTTAGCACAGTGTCTCAGACAGCTGTGAGTACCCATCTTGCCATGGTAGCACAGAGCTTACAGCCATCACTTGCACTTACCCTGCTCCTCAGACATGTTTTGCAGCTTTCCTGGAGCACTGCTCCTGCCATCGCCACCTAAACAGCTGACACTGGAGCTTGACATCATGTTTGTGGTGACCGTGTTGTACCAAGAGGCCATGTTGTGGCTGCAAACATTACAGGCTACATCAAAAAACCACCAAATATAATTCTTCCAGATTGCTATATGAAAACTTGGATTTCCACCCCTAATTTCTGAGCTGGTAATATCTTGCTTAAGCCTTTTTCACTCACTCTCTACAACTCCCTGAAAGGAGGATGTAGCCAGGTGAAGAAGATCTGGCTGCTCTCAGGTAACAAGTGACAGGACGAGAGGACATAGACTCGAGTCTTCAGGGGGAGGTTTAGGTTGGACATAGCAGGAATTTCTTCACAAAAAGGGTACTTGGACATTAGAATGGGCTGCCCAGGGAGGTGGTGTAATCACTGTCCCTGGGGGTATTCAGAAAGACTGGATATAGTACCCAGTGCCGTGGTGTGGTCAACGTGGTGGTGTTCAGTCCTGTGTTAAATTCGATGATCTGAGGTATTTTCCAACCGAGTTGATTCTGTGCTTTTTGCTGAGGGCTAAAACTTGAAAAGAGATTCTGGCATCATAGAATCCTAGAATAGTCTGAGTTGGAAGGGACATTCAAAATCATCTGATTTCACTACCCCTACCCTGCTCGCCATGGGCAGGGACACCTTCCCCTAGTCCAGGGTGCTCCAAGCCCCCTTCAATCTGGCCTTGAACACTTCCAGTGATAGGGCATCCACAGCTTCTCTCGGCGACCTGCGCCAGGGCGCCAGGCCGCGCACCCACCCTCGCAGGAAGGCATTCCTCCCCAGTGTCCCGTCCAACCCCGCCCCCTGGCAGCGGGAAGCCGTTCCCCCTTGGCCGGGCGCCTCCGGTTCTTCAGAGTGCCCTCCCCCAAGATGGCGCCCGGCGCTTCCCTCTTCACCGCGCAGCCGCTGTGGCCCCGACCCGGCCGTGACGCGGCTGCCACCGCCTCCGGCTGCGCTGGGGCCGCCTTCGCAAGGCGCTGCCCGGGGCGGTCGGGGCTGCAGCTGCGCCTCATGGTGCCTTTGCCCATCCAGGCTGCAAGATGAGGCTGCTGGTTGCCGCACTCTTGCTGCTGGCGCCTCTCGGCGCTGCCTTCTACCTGCCTGGCTTGGCGCCTGTCAGCTTCTGTGAGGAGAGCGAGCAGACCGAGAGCTGCAAGGTGAGAACCCGCACGGGAGGGCCCGACGTGGGCCATCCCCTCGCTGTGCCCCACGCGGGGCTCCCACGGCGAGGGGACTCCGCGGGGTATTCCCAATCCCGCTGCTCGTAGGTGTGGTCCCGCGGGCGGCAGCCTCTGCACCGGGAAGACAGGCACCCCTAGCTGGTGTTCCCTTTTCCCGCTGAACTTTACAGCCCAGCGCTGGGAGGACCCTTAGCTCCTTCTTCCTGGCGTGGCCGGGGCCTGTCAGCAGCCAAGGGTAACTCCGTCATGGGGTAGCAGCATTTGCTGGTTAGCCTCGAATTTCATACCGGCCACACGTTTGTTTCTGAAAGTCCGTACTTTCATGCTTTTTCTCCTTTCCTGTTTCAGTCACTCATTGAGCTCTTCGTGAACCGGCTGGACTCTGTTGAATCAGTTCTGCCGTACGAGTATGATGCGTAAGTACATCCCAATACTTTTCCAGAACCGTTTGGAAGGACGATTTTCTGTTACTGTAAGGGTGTCAGTATTGTGGCTGTAGGGATGGAAGAGTGAATCCGGTGCTTAGTGGCAGGAATTAAGTACAAGAGGGTGGGAAGGATGAAAGCCACACCTGTGCCACCTGACTGTCCGAAGTTATTGCTTAAAAAAAG